AAAAACCTGTGTTGCCCCCCGCCCAAGCTCGGTGGGGGTCTGCTGCCCTGGGGCTGGAGGGGGGAACTGCCTGGGGGTGCCCACCGCCCCAACAGGCGGGTCCCAGCTGCGCTACCAGCCCCAATTGCCCTTAATGGCAGGAGGAGAGGAGGATGTAAGTGACCCCCGTGGCACCCCCCGTCCTCTCTGGAGCCCCCGAGGGGCTCTGGCGCTTTGATCAGCAAACTTGAGCTCAGCTGCCAGCCGCAGGCACAGTCCCCGGGGAGCGGGGGGCTGAGCTCCAGCCTGCCCGCGGAGCTGTCCCCTAATCCCCCTGCCCCAGCCCCACTGTCCCCCAGCCCACCGGGGATCCCCCACCCTACCACCCCCCATCCCTCTGCATCCTGCCTGGCCGGTGGGACAGGGCAGCCAGGGCAGGGTCTGGGGGGGCCGGGCAGGTTGGGCAGCGCCCCCCCCCCCCCCAAGTCTTGATGCCCAGTCTCCCCCCTCGCTGCCCCAGGCCTGGGAGTGGACCCGGTCCCCGCCGGAGCGCACCCCGAAGCGTCCCCGGCCGGTGTGCCGGAGTTTTTCCCCGCCGAGAAGCGTCCGGGGGGTTCGTGGCCGGAGAGCGGGCGGTTGGGGGGCCCGATGGAGCGGCGGCACACCATCTGCAGCCTGGACTGGCGGGCGGCCCGGGGTGGGCAGGAGGGGCGGCGGGGCGGCAGCCTGGAGCGTCGACGGGGCGGCAGCTGGGAACGGCGGCAGCGCGGGCGGCCCTCGGGGAGCTGGGAACGGCGGCGGGCGGGTACGGCGGGCGGCAGCTGGGAGCGCGGCACCGGCTTCGGCAGCTGGGAGCGGCGGCACGCCGGCAGCAACCCCCTGGACCCCCAGGAGCCCTGCCCCGACGCCTACTCCAACCTCATCATCCTCGCCGTGCCCAACAGGGTGAGCGGCCCCCGTGGGTGCCCAGCCGCCGGCACACGGGTGCCCGCCGGCACCCACCCACCCACCCTCCCGCCCGCTCGCGCTCCCTCCCGCTTGCAGGATGCCGCCGAGGAGTCCTGCGCGCTCATCTGCCAGGTCTTCCAGATCATCTACGGGGACCAGAGCATCGAGTGCGTGGACCGCGCCGGGTACCACTACACCTCCACGCCCACGCGGCCGTGGCTCGCCAGCAGGAGTGAGTGGCCGTGGGCAGGGACACGGCGCGGGGTGACACCCGGGCATGGCGGGGGCTCGGGCGCAGGCTGAGACCTCGGTTCTCCCTCCCCAGGTGAGAGCTGCCGCACCGACGGGACGTACGGCTACGATGCCGACTTCAGCTGCTGCAGCTCCTGGTGAGTCTGGGTTCCCCCGGGGTGCCCCTGCCCCAAGGTGGGTGCCCCCACCCCCGGGTGGGTGCTTGTCCCAGCTGCAGAGACGCCCCAGCCCTGCCCGATGGTGGGTGCTGGGGTGTGTGTGGGGGGGGGGGGGGAGGCAGCCGGGCACACGAGGGGCACCGGGACCCGCTGACCCCCCACCCCAACTCTGCAGCAACGGCTCCCACGAGACCTTCGAAGCGTATTACAGCGGCACCTCCTCGCCCTCCTTCCACCGGTCCCACCACAGCCTGGCCACCGCCTGCAGCGGCAGCGACCAGAGCGGCGCGGGGCTGGAGCAGCTGCAGGACTACATGGTGACGGTGCGGGGACAGGGACAGGGCCCTGTTTGGCACTGGCAGCTTGGGAGGGGGGGCAGTGGGCAGGTCTGAGCCCCCCACGCCAGAGAGAAGACAGTAGGGGGGCCGGGGCTGTGTGGTGCTGGTGCCCCCAAGCCCACCTTGTCCCTGTGTCACTGCAGCTGCGCAACAAGCTGTCGCCGCAGGAGATCCAGCAGTTCGCCGTCCTGCTCCGCGAGTACCGCCTGGGCACGCCGGTGCGGGAGTACTGCGCCGAGCTCCTGCGCCTCTACGGGGACCGCAGGAAATTCCTCCTCCTGGGTGAGCGTCACCCCGGGGATGTCCGCGCACCCCTTGGGGATGGGGGTGCCGGGTGTGCTCCGAGGGGTTTGGGACCCCTCTGCTCGCTGGGGATGGGATGAGCTGCTCCCCCCCGGGAAGGGTCCCCCCGAGCCTCACGGTGCCCGTGGCAGGAATGAGGCCCTTCATCCCCGACCAAGACATCGGGTACTTCGAGACCTTCCTGGAGAGCATCGGGATCCGGGAGGGCGGGATCCTCACCGACAGCTTCGGCCGCATCAAGCGCAGCATGAGCAACACCTCGGCCTCAGCCGTGCGCAGCTACGACAGCTGGTCCCTGCGCTCCGAGTCCGAGTCCTTCAACCGCATGATCACGGACATCACCCACGACATCGAGGCGCTGGCGCGGGACGAGGAAGAGGAGGAGGAGGAGGAGGAAGAGGACAACTACCTGTGAGGGAATGCTGAAACCCAGCCGTCCCTTCCCCTCTCACCGACGCGGTGCTGCACCTCCCAGCCCACATTGCCTAGCTCTGCCCCAGTGCCTGGGAGGGGGGACGTTGTCCCCCCTGTTGTCACCGTGGGAGGGGACAGGGGGTCTGCACCGCCCTGGCAACTCTCGGCAGGGCTGACGGCGTCACGGGGCAGCCGTGGCAGCGGGGGAGCCCCCGGATGGCAACGCCATGTGCTATAATTTCTGCAGATTGCAATTAAATGCCGGGGCTGGGAGTGGAGCAGATTCTTCCCTGGGGAAAGGCCGTGCTGAGGGGGGGGGGGGCTGCTGCAGTGGGGGGGGAGTTGGGAGGGGTGCTGCTCAGCAGGCACCACGCTGCTGCTGGGCTGGGGCACCCTGTCCACCCCAGTGCCACACGCAGCTCACTCCGAGTTGGGGTGCTCCCGGCTGTGCCGGGCTGGCCCCGGGGGACACTCCTGGCAGCGTGAGATCCTGGGGGGGCTCAGAACAAAGTGGGGGGGGGCCAGCGAGGGTATGTGGGGATGGGGGGGGGAGGGGAGGGCTGGTGGCCACAGCTGACCCGCTGCTGCCTGTGCTGCCGGTCTGGGCGCACCCCGATAAAGCCTTTTAAAGTGGAGGGAGAGGTTGGAAGGCTGTTTGGGCTAGGAAAGCACCCGTGAGCCCCCGCAGCCCCGGGGATGCTCTGGGGAGGGGCTGCGTCCTGCGCCCCGACGTGAGGGCAGTGCTGGGGTCTGGGGGGGTCGCTGAGCCGCGGGCAGCCGTCCCCAGGGCGCGACGTCCCTGCGACACCCGGCCAGCTGCGGGGCCGCGGGTGTTTCACCAAAGGAGGTTCCTGCCCCGGGACCCGGCTTCCTGCAGCGCTGCCCTGCAGCCCTCCTGCTGCCGAGGGACGGGGGGGGGGGGGGGGGCCGCGCTCCCCGCCGGCCCGTTAGCCCCCGGCCCATGTCCCGTGGCCGACGTGCCCTGGCCGATGGCCCGTGGTCACCGTCCCTTGGCGGGGGCTGTGGGGATGTGCTGCAGCCCCTGGGCAGAGCCTGGGCAGGCAGATGCTGGGGCTACCTCCAGCAATTTATTTTTTTTTTTTTTTTTTTAATGAAAATATTTACATATGTAAATCTTCATGCAGGCGAGGCGCTTGCCATCCCATCGCTTCCTCCAGCGCAGGGGCTGGGTCCGGGCCTGCCTGCCGGTGTCACCGAGCAGCCGCAGGTCCCTTCGCTGCCGCCGGCCCCGTCCCAACTTCAGGGGTGCTCTGGGCTGGAGCGCCGGGGGGCGGGGAGGGGGCCCGGGCTGACTTTTAGTATGGGAACACCAGGGCCAGGAGAGACACAGCAAAGCCCACGGCCTCCCCCCAGCCCCTCTGAGCTGGGCTGCGCAGCACCCTGCCGTGCCCTGCACCCCACCATGCCCTGCACCCCCCCGCCCTGCACCCCACCATGCCCTGCACCCCCCCACCCTGCACCCACCTACCCTGCACCCCCCGCCCTGCACCCCACCATGCCCTGCACCCCCCCGCCCTGCACCCCACCATGCCCTGCACCCCCCCACCCTGCACCCACCTACCCTGCACCCCCTGCCCTGCACCCCACCATGCCCTGCACCCCACCATGCCCTGCACCCACCCGCCCTGCACCTACCTACCCTGCACCCCCCCGCCCTGCACCCCACCATGCCCTGCACCCACCTACCCTGCACCCACCCACCCTGCACCCCACCATGCCCTTCACCCCACCGTGCCCTGCACCCCCCAGCTCTGCAACCCCCCTGCACCCCACCATGCCCTGCACCCACCTACCCTGCACCCCCCCGCCCTGCACCCCACCATGCTCTGCACCCCACTGCCCTGCACCCCACCATGCCCTGCACCCCACCATGCTCTTCACCCCACTGCCCTGCACCCCCCAGCTCTGCACCCCACCGTGCCCTGCACCCCCCCGCCCTGCACCCCACTGCCCTGCACCCCACCATGTCTTGCACCCCCTTGCCCTGCACCCCCTACCCTGCACCCCCCCGCCCTGCACCCCACTCAGGGATTTCCTCTTTCCTCCTCCGTGGGGACGGACACCAGGCTCACACCAGCCCTCACTCGCCCCGTGCCCCCCAGTGCCGCCCACGGCTCCGCAGCGGGTGAGAAAACAGCCCGGGGGCCGCTCTGGGGTGCCGGGTCCCCAATCCTGCCCCCCCCCCAGAGCTCCCGGGGGCCGCGGGCGCACTGAAGGGTGCTGGCACCCACTGGGACATCATAAAAGCCACCCCGACGGCAGCGGGGTCCCCGCGGGGCCGGGATGTCCCTGCGGGCAGCACGAGTGCCCTTGAAAGCTGCTTCTGTCGCCTTCGGTCCACGGGGGTCCCGCGTGGACCGGGGGGGGGGGGCCCGTTCGGTCCGTGATGGGGGTCCCCACTCCCATCCCGGTTTGGGCCCCCCCGGGGCCGGTACAGGGAGGGATCGGCCGCGCCCACCCCGGCGGGCAGCACCGGCGGGGTCGGGGGGTCCCGCGGCCCCGGGGTGGGTCCCGGGGGGCGGGGCCTTACCGGGGAGGGGCGGGGCCTTACCGGGGTGGGGCGGGGCCTTACCGGGGCGGGCGGCGGGAGCGCAGCGGGGCAGAGCACAGCGGCAGCGGCAGCCCCGGGACCGGCGCTGGGACCGGGCCAGGCCCCGGGCCGGCGGAGGAGGTGAGAGCGGAACGGAGCCCCGAGAGCGGCGGGGCCGGGCGGGGGGAGCCCCGGGGCCGGTCCCGGGCAGCCGCCGCTGCCCCAGTTCATCTCCGTGCTGGCCCCGCTGGGTGCCCCGGGGGGGGGGGGTGATGCCCGGGGGGGCGGGAAGGCGGTGCCGGGGTGTCCCGGGGGGGAGCACGATGCGGTCCCGGGAAGGCGATGCCTGCCGGTGGCCGTCGGGGACCTGCCACCGCCTGCCCGGGCAGCGAGGGCACGGGTGGCTGTGCTCTCGGGGGCGACGGGCTCCCCCCGTCCCACCGCGGCCCCCGCCTGGTCACCAGGGCTGGGGACAGCCAGGTGGGCTGCAGGACACGGCTCTCCGGGGTGGGACGCACTGGGAGCGGCTGCTCCCACCCGTGTCCCCTGGGCCGGCGAGCCTCGGCGCTGTGCCATGGCCACCCGGTCCCTGCGTGCGGTAGTGTGCCGGGATGCTGTGGGGCTGGGATGCTGTGGGGCTGGGATGCTGTGGGGCTGGGATGCTGTGGGGCTGGGAATGGGTGGCTGTGGGGTGCTTGGACCCCCCAGAGGGGTTTGTATTTTGTAGGGCCAGATGCTCCCGACCCGCTGCGGGACGGGCAGAGCAAATCCCTGCTGCGGTGCCAGCACGGGCCGTGGCTGAGTCCCGGCCCAGGGGATCCGGCACTGGGCTCTGCCAGCCTGAGCTCGGGGCATCCCTGCGAGGGGGACGAGCTGTCTGGGGCCACCGCTGCTGCCCCTGCTCCGCCCTGGGGAGCGGGGCCACCCGAGGCGTTGGCACGCTGGGAAGGACGAGGAGTGACCGGGGGGGTGGCTGGGAGGTGACAGCGATGTCCCTCGAGGGCCGTGGGAGCGAGGTGGTGCTGTGCACGTCGTGGGGCCTCGCTCAGCCCTGAGCTTCCTCCTTCGCTGTCACCGCCGGCACCTTCTCCTTTCTCTGCGCCGAGGTCTCCCCCGGCCAAGGGAAGTGCCTTTGCGGGGGGTTTCCCCCGCGCTCGCTGCTTCTTGCACCACATTCTCCTGCTGCTGTTTCTCGGGGAGCTGGAGAAAATTGAGCATTTGCATTCGCCCTGGGCCGGTGGCTGTTCGAGGCAGCTCCACCCTGGCCCAGCAGCTGGGGAGCGTGGCGAGGAGCGGTGACCCACGGCAGTGTGGGGGCCACGGCCGTGCCGAGGGACTGGAGGGGGGGCCACAAGCAGCAGCGGTGCTGGGTGGGGAGCCCCGAGCTGCGGGGGAACCCCCCCCTGCCCTGTGACAAGGGTCCCCCTTTGCAGAAGGCACCGAGCGATGCTCAGAGCCTGCACCCCCGTCCCAGAAAGGCTTTTTCGGGGAAGGGCTGTGAAGCTGCTTCACAGCAGCCGCTGCCACCTGCTCAAAATTTGCCTCCTGTGACTTTTCCTTTCTCTGCAACAGGAGACCCCTTCTCTTCGCCAGCACAGCACCGTGCACCTTGCTGGGCACCCCCGCACCCCGCGCCGGGTGGGAGCTGCTGGGAGCGGGGCTGGAGTGGGGCTTTCACCTCGGTTGCAACGCATTCACTTCCCCTCCCTTGGCTGCAGGATGGGTTGCGTGAAGTCGAAGGAAGCTGACGTCCAAGAGAAGATGATAAAAACTGACCCCGGCCCCAACCTCCAGCAGGGCCACTACGTGAAGGACCCCACAGCCACCAACAAGGTGAGTGGGAGCCGTCGAGTGAGCTGGGGATGGCGGGGTGAGCCATGGTGGGGGGCTCAGCCCCCTCCTCGCCAGAGCTGCCAGCCCCCGAGCAGGGGGCTTGGCTGTGGGACGGGAGCACAGTCTGGCCCAGCTTGTGTTGGGGAAGGCACAGAGCAAACCTGATGGGAATCAAGGAATTATGGAAAAAGAGAGAGAAAAGTGAAGGTGTTTGGGAGGGGGCGGAGATGCTGGTGCTGGGCGAGTCGGGTGCTGCCCCTCGGGTGCCATCCTGCCCCTGCCAAGCTGCTGGGGGCTGGGGAATTGGTGGGGCTGAGACCCCTGTAGGGTACGGATCTCTGCCACCCACAACATCACTCTCTGGTTTCTGTCCCTCTTTCCAGACCAGTAACGTCCCCAGCGTGGCCGTGTCCCCGCCTGAGGATGGTAGGTACAGGGAGCGGGGGGGCTGCAAAATGGTGCACGAGGTGGGAGCGTGGCCGGGTCCTCTCCAACCTGGGTCAAACGCCGCCGGTCCCAGCAGCTCTGGGCTTCCTCGAAGGCCAGAGGTGGCCGCGGCAGGATGAAGGCACTGGGTGCTGTGGGTAGGTCCTGGCCGGTGTCCTGGCTGCGCGTGGCAGGGGGGGCCGGGCAGCCCGTCCCAGCACGGGGAGGGGGGGTGCCCAGGGAGCTCCCCTGTTGCAGACTCGGGGGACAGCGTGGTGCTGGCTCTCTACGACTACGAGGCGATGCACGCTGGGGACCTGAGCTTCCAGAAAGGCGAGCGGCTGAAGGTGCTGGAAGAGTAAGTGCTGATGGAGCTCCCCTCATCTCCCACAGGCTTGCGTGGCCCTGCTGGGTTTTTTTTCTGGATTTTGATCCCAGAGGAGCTGGTAGTGCCAGGGGCCGACCCGATGCCATTTCTGTCACAGGGCAGGGGAGTGGTGGCAAGCGCGGTCGCTGGCAACGGGGCGCGAAGGCTTCATCCCCAGCAACTACGTTGCCCGAGCCGACTCGCTGGAGACAGAGGAGTGAGTCCATCCCTCTGTGGCACATCCCAGCCCCGTGCTCCCCCACCACGGCTGTCCCCGCTCCTGCCCCACGGCCTGCCCCCCAGCCCTGCCCCACGCCCCCGCTAGCCCTCCCAGCCCCGGTAGCGTTCGTCGGTTTATTGGTTTCTGCTGCAGGTGGTTTTTCAAGGGCATCAGCCGGAAGGACGCGGAGAGGCAGCTCCTTGGCCCTGGGAACGCCATCGGGTCCTTCATGATACGGGACAGCGAGACAACGAAAGGTCCGGGGGGGTTCCCGCGGCGCGGGGGGAGCGGCTGCCCTCGCTTGCTGGTGGAGGAGCTCAGGAGACGCGTCCCCAGCCCGGGGGTCTGCTTTGCTTTGGGGCAGGGATTGGGGGTCTGTACTCCCGCTGCGAGCGATGGCACCGCGCGGGATGGTTTGGGGAGGTGGGCTCTGTGTGTGTGGGTGGGGGGGCGGGGGTGCTGGCGGCTCACCCCCTCCCCAAACAGGCTGCTACTCGCTGTCGGTGCGGGACAGGGACGACCTGCAAGGCGGCACCGTGAAGCATTACAAGATCCGGACGCTGGATAGTGGCGGCTTCTACATCTCCCCGCGCAGCAGCTTCGAAACGCTGCAGGAGCTGGTCCAGCACTACAAGGGTGAGCCCCGGGGGTGCCCGGACCCCCCATCCCAGAGGGGGTTTGTCCCCGAGCCAAGCGACCAAGGGGCTCCTGCCCATCACCACTGGGCTCCCGCTGTGACGTGCAGTGGCTCCCAGACCTTCCTGTGGCACGGTGCCTGGCTTGCTGGCTGTCACAGCTGTGGTGTGGGTGTCCCCAAACGCCCACGGTGCCCGGGGCTCCCCCTTCCCCAGGCGGGCCGGTGCCCTGGCTGCGCCGGCACGGTGCTGTAACGCCGGGCAGGGCAGAGCGATGCTGGTGGGGCCAGGCTGTGACAGCCGGCGTTCGACGCGTCCCCCAGTGGGGTGTGTGGTGCCAGGACGTGCCCCACGGCCACGGAGGCTCCCGTGGGCTCCACTTGGAGGCACGAAGCGGCCGGTGAGACAAGGCGGCTGATGGCTCTGGCTGCTCCCTGCAGGGCAGAGCGACGGGCTGTGCCAGAAGCTCACCCAGCCCTGCTGCGTGCCCAAACCGCAGAAGCCCTGGGAGAAAGATGCCTGGGAGATCCCTCGGGAATCGCTGAAGCTGGAGAGGAAGCTGGGAGCCGGGCAGTTCGGAGAAGTGTGGATGGGTGAGAGCGAGCGGGAGGCAGCTGGGAGGATGGTGAAGGTGACGGTGAAGGAGGAAGGGTGAGGGATGGGAGAGGAGGTGGAGGGATGGAGTGGGGGGAGAGGCAGGGAGGGAGCGACCCGCGGGAGAGGAGCACAGGGGAGGGGAGGTGGCCCCGGCCGTAACGCAGGGACGGCTTGAGGCAGGGTGCCTGGGGACAGCCCTGGGCTGTGTAAGGTCTCCGGCCCTCGCACAGCAGCTCCGTCTGCAGGACTGGGTGCTTTGGCTCCAAAATCCAGTGCTCCCAGTGCACTGGGCAGCCTGGGACCGGTCTGTCGTGCCGCCCCCGCAGCTACCTACAACAAGCACACCAAGGTGGCGGTGAAGACGATGAAGCCGGGCAGCATGTCCGCGGACGCCTTCCTGGAGGAGGCGAACCTGATGAAGACGCTGCAGCACGCCAAGCTGGTGAAGCTGCACGCGGTCGTCACCAAGGAGGAGCCCATCTTCATCATCACCGAGTTCATGGAGAAAGGTGACGCCCGCCGCTGCGTGTCTGAGCACTCGGGGGCAGGGTGCTGGGCGGGGGGACGCGGTGACAGCCCTGGCAGAGGGATGGGGAATGGGGGGCAGACGAGAAGGGGCGCTCTGCAAAGCAGGAGGGAGCCCGCAGCGGCGCTCGCCCCTCTGCCCGGTCCCCGGGAGCGGGGTGGGGGGTTCAGGTGTGTTTTCTGACCGAGTCCCCACATCGTGCTCAGCCCCCTTCCCCAGACCCTGTGGCGCCCACGGGACCCGTGTCACCCCGAGGGTGGGCGCAGGCTCCGGCTGAGCCGTCAGCCCCCCCGCACCCTTCCCTGTCCGCAGGGAGCTTGCTGGATTTCCTGAAGAGTGACGAGGGGAACAAGCAGCCGCTCCCGAAGCTGATCGACTTCTCTGCCCAGGTGAGGAGGGGAGCAGGCCTCCCGCAGCGCCCCGCTGCCTCTTGCCCCCAAGAAGGGTGAGCGAGGGGATTGGGGAGCCCAAGAACTTACCTGGGGCTTGGGCAGTGCCAGCCAGGAGCCTGGTTTGAACAGGCCAAGCCTGGGGGTGGTGGGGATGCCACCCCCGGCCAGCTGCCTGTACGGGACCCAGGGGTGCAAAAGGAGAAGTGGCGGCTTCCTCCGTGTTGGCCCGTTAACTGCAGCACGGAGCCGGCTAGCCCGGAGCTGCACGGAACCCGGGGGGTTTGGCCAGGCTGCTCCCCCCAAGGAGCTGGGAAACTCATGTTTTCTAAGACACCGTGGTTTCTGCCCCACGGCCGCAGCCCGCGGTGCCGCTGTGCTTTGTGGAAGTTACAGGGGCGAGGGTTGGAGCTTTTTTTTTTTTTTGTTGCTCACATTTGCACGGTCCCTTCTCCAGGACGTGCAGGAGCTGGGCGGCACGGCCGGTCCGAGCCCGGGGCTCCCCATGGCACAGCCGGCGATTTCCATCCGTTGCTGCTGCCGTGACAGCCACCCGCAGACACCATGCTCCGTGCGACACAGCCTTGGCTGCAAAATTTGCCAAAGCCCCACGAAATCCCGCGCAGCCACACACCCCGTGCCACCCCAGCACCAGCTCTCACACCCACTGGGGCCGTGCCCCTGGGCAGGACCCACCCACGGCTCTGGCCGCGTTAAGTTTCGTGGGTTTTGTAGGAAATCCACAGCACGGTCTTGATGCATTCACGGTGCCTCGGAGATCGAGCTGGGCAGGGTTTCTAGAAGGGAGCGTAGAGTGTTATGTTGCCCCACAGCAATGCCTACGGGAGGTTTGTGGTTCATTAAAATCATCTGCCTGCCAAAGGGCTGTCACGGGCTGGGCACAGGCAACTGCAGAGGCAGGAGGACGTGGTAAAAATCATTTGGGGGGATATTTTCAGGAGCAGATTTTTGAGTCCATCCGACCACGCTGTTACACACCTAGCTTCGTCTGTGCAATCATTTGCTGCTTCTGCAGTGTCCCCAGATGCTGGCCAAATCCAGGGACCCTTTGAGCCAAGCTTGGTACCACGATGAAATAATTCATAGAGGCACCCGAGCAACAGGAAAGCCAGGATGGGAGCCCAGACCCTGGGGGCTTAGACCACTGGTTACTGGAGCCGGCCGCGCCGGGGTCTGCCGACCCGCCGTGCGCTCCTGCACACCATCTGTTCCCAGCAAGCTGGCTCCTGCAAACCGCCCGGCTCGCCTCCCTCGCTCCCAGGGGCTTTTTGCTGCAGCACCGAGCAGCAAAGGCTGAAGCGCTTCGGTGTTTCGGCAGGCAGCGAGCCCGGCACCCAGGCTCGTGCTGAGGCTGAGTCACTGCGAGCAAAACTGCGTCTGTGGCCGTGGAAATAATCCTTCCGCTCTTGCAGCGCTTGTTTACTTCTGTATTTTGTGTGGAGAGCTCTGTGAGCAACTGCACCTTACCCCGGCCCCGGGGGGTTGCGGGTGTGACGGGGGTGGGGGGAGCGTCCCCTCCAGGCATGGGATAATTTGGCACAGGTTTGGGGGTCGGTTGTGCACACACCAGGTCGTTTCTGCATTGGTACAGCTACTTGGTGCAGAGACTTCTGAAGATGGAGCCGGGGCGGGGGGGTCTCCCAGGGTTGTCACGGCCATCCTGCCCCCAGGCAGGCCTCACTCTTCACAAACTGTTCTCGAAGAACCTCCCCACCCTCCTCCTTGGGAGACCCACCACCGCGCTTTTCCATCCTCACCAAGGAAGCTCTGCATGGCAGCAATTAAAGTCCATTTGTTGTTCCCTTAGTAGGGAGAGAGGATAGTTTAGTTCACTCCCCGCTTCTCTCAAGCTGTTGTTGATGTATTTGGAGACCGGTCTCACATCTTCTCTGCACGGAGAATGATCTACTCCACATCTGCACGGCTCCGGAGGAAGCAGTTACACCTTGCCCTGTGGACATCCACGGACACTTGCCGTGAGCACGTCAGCTCCTCGGGTTCCAGTTCCTGCTGCTCTTCTCACACGTGGGCTTAAAAGAGTTGTGTTGGGTGGTCACCCAGGTGCTGACCTCTTCTGCAAGGGATTCCCTGCACGGGGGGTGACTCCCACTCAAGAAAGTCAGTCCCGTCTCCTGCTGTGACTCAGGCTCCTTTCACCCCTTCCCAAGCGCCAGCCAGCAGCAGATAATTTCTTTCCATTCCTGGTAACAGTTGTGTCAGGGAGGTTGCGTTATTTCAAACAGCCTCTTTGCATTTTTCTCTTTCCCCTTTTTACAGATTGCAGAAGGAATGGCTTTTATTGAGAAGAGGAACTACATCCACAGAGACCTGAGAGCTGCCAATATTCTGGTCTCAGCAATACTGGTGTGCAAGATCGCAGACTTTGGCCTGGCCAGAGTCATTGAAGACGATGAGTACACGGCCCGGGAAGGTGCGGGAGCTGCTGGGGGTGGCTGGCTGCTTTCTGAGATGGTGGAGGGGGTGTGGGATTCCCTTAGGAGCCGCTTCCCAATGTGTAACCTCTGTGGTGGGGACCCTGGGAGGGGCGTGATGTGTAAAGGGGCAGATGAGGGAAGCTCCTCTCATTTGCATCGCCTCACATCTTCCTCCTCTGTTCATTTGCGTCTTGTTCCCCATATTTCATCACCAGTTTCTCAGCATTTGCGTTAGAGCTCGTTTCCCATTGGATCTCTTTGTCCAGGTGCCAAGTTTCCCATTAAATGGACTGCACCAGAAGCCATCAACTATGGATCTTTCACTATAAAATCAGACGTTTGGTCCTTTGGGATCCTCCTGACCGAGATCATTACCTACGGGCGCATCCCATACCCAGGTAAGGAGGTGAAATGCCTCCTCCGCTCTGGTTCCAAAGGACATGCTCCACCTTCTGGGCCCCATCCATGGGATCGTTTCTCCACGAAGTTAGATTGCTGAAAACAGAGGGAATGGTGAGCAATCTGAACCTCACGCTGGGAGCAGAGCAGGGTGGCGTGAGGTCTCACGGCGGCGATTCTGCCTGTGAGCCCTGGAGAGGAGCCCAGAGCACGAGGCAGTCTCCGAGCGGTCTGCACTGCTCATTTAGGTACATCCACTCTTTGGCCAAGCGCTCACCTAGGGTGGAGCATGAGGAGGATTTTCTCCCTGGGAGTCCTCAGTGGACACCGGCTGTTTCCACCGACCCGAAATCCACGCCGATGTGACATGGGCCCCCCACTTCCCAGCTTCCACAAAGCAGAGCTGGGACATCTCCTCTCGGGACCCCCCAAAATGGGTGCAGGTAGTGATGACTTCAGCGTGCCCGCTGCTTTGGGGAGAAGGGCAGCTACTCTATATACTGCCTTGGGGCTGAGCCTGCAAGGTCCTGAGCTCCTCCAGCGCCGTGGGAAACCAACAGTAGTCAGGGTGTCTAAAAGATCTGGTCTCTCTGTTTCTAAAATAATCATGTTTTTAACACGAGAGGATAACTGCCTTGCCCCAGGCTGTACTAGGGCCCCCGGAGAGCGGGTATCGTACACCACAGGTTCCTGGCTCGTGGATTTGTGTCACAGCACTAACCCGGGGTTTTCTGCCTCCTGCAGATTAAGTATGTTTGGAAGTAGCGCATCAATTCAGGGCCGATAGCTGGGCCAGGTATTTTTGGGAAGGCTTGAGCAACCTGTGAATCGTCATCAGGACCTCCCCTGTGTTTTATACTAATTGTTACTTTGGTACCTTTTTTCAATGGGAAATTATGCTGTGTAAGAAAAGTAAATGTTGCCACAAACTGACCATGAAGGATCTGGTGAGGCATAAAGGGTTCCTCTGGACGACCAATTCTGTCATCACACTAACTTCGTTTTATGGGAAGGAATGGCTCATTAAAGACTCAGCAGATGGAGCAGCATAGCCTTTATTTTTTTGAAATTCATACAAAACAATTATAATTCCTATTTGATCTCCTCACATGGTGTACAAAACTGCATGCTACAACTAACTCAGCATCTCAGCTGCCTGCATGTTTCCCTGAGCAGTTCCCCCTTCCCTACCCCTCTAACCTGTCTTTTCTCTTCCTAGTGCCATTGCCCCAAGGGTGGGCAGTTTTGGGTTTTGGGTGTTTCTCGCCTTTTAAAGAAAGCAGTGATAAACCATGAAATGTTCACCTCTCCTGCCCTGTTTCTCCAGGGATGTCGAGCGTGGAGGTGATCAGGGCCCTGGAGCACGGGTACCGGATGCCCCGCACAGAGAACTGCCCCGAGGAGTTGTATGACATTATGATGAGATGCTGGAAAACCAAACCGGAGGATCGTCCCACCTTCGAGTACATGCAGAGCATTCTGGAGGATTTCTTTACTGCGACAGAGAGCCAGTATCAGCACCAGCCGTAACTCGGGAAGCTTGGTGAAGAGAGCGGAGACCCCGCGCTCTGCCTGCCGTGTTAGCGGCAGCGAGCACACGCACCCTGCTCTTCCCTGTCCCGCTCGCGATCTGCCGGCGCACGCCTTCCTCTGCCAGCCTGGCCCAGGAGCCAGAGCCTTCCCGCTGGGCCTGGGCTGGCAGCAGCGGCCGGAGGAAGCCCCTCTGAGGCCAGCCCCCCGGACGGGGGGAGAAGCGATGCGGGGCCAGACCTTGTGCCTTTCACACGTGCCCGAGTGCCCACGAGGCAGCTGCTCCCTGAAGCGCTGGCTGGACGGTGGTTGCCCACGGTGGAAGCACCATGCAAAGAAGGACGGGGCCAGGCCTGTTTCAGCTACAAAGGAAAAAAAAAAAAAAAAAAATCTGATTTTTTTTTTTTTTTTTTTTTAATCCTTCCAAGATCTTATCATGTTGTTTTGCAGAAGTAGCTTTAGCTGCGCTGGCCTTGGCAAAATGCTGTTATGCTCCAGACGCCCACGTCCCCCCGGTCCCTGCGTGTCGGGGAAATCCCAGTGAATCCCCACCCGGGGAACGCTGCGATGCCACACGTTGGCTCATCCTCGACGCAGGATCCCGGGTTCGGACCGTGAAACGTTGCAGAACCACAAGCCACCCCTCGCCCTCCCGGGTTTCCTTCCTAAGTATTTTTTTGCGGTGCCGCGGGTGCGGAGGGCGAGTTTTGGGGGGGAGGTGGGCAATGGCCGGGCGTAGACGCTGCTCTGCTCGGTAGCCCAGGGCCGCTGCCCCCCGGCTCGCCCGCCGTGGAACTTGGGGGGGGGCCAAGGGCCGCCCCACCGCCGCGCTCGTGGGCATCACTCAGTGATTTTGGGGGCATCTGCAGCGCTGGCAACGAGCCTGCCTGTCCTGACACACTCATTTTACGCCGTTTATTTTTAGTATTTAACGATGGGTTATTTTGGGGAAAAGGAGGAAGTAGGTTTTTTTTGTTTTTTTTTTTTTTGTTTGTGTTTTTTTTTTTTTAAATTGCCCTGTATGTCTTACAGCAGGGAGCTTCTGGGCCCGCGTGATTACGTCTTCCTCGTGCAACGAGGCAGACACTTCGCTTTGATACGCTTTTATATCAGCTTTGGAAGCTGCTTTTTATAATCAGTAAAGTATTTATAAACCTCTCGCCTTTCGGCCTTTCCTCACGTTCCGCAGGCGGGGGGGAGAGGAACGCCGCTGCACCCCTTGGAGCGGGCCCGGAAGCCCGGGCGGGCGCCGGGGCCGGGTCGGAACGGAGGGCGCGGGCCGGGCGGTCCCGGGACCGCGGGGGGTGGGAGCGGCGGGACCGGCCGGGGCCGCTCCGGGCCCTGCCAGCCCCGCCGCCTCGGCGCCCGCAACCAACATGGCGCCCACGGCGTCGCGCCCGCCCTCCGCGCGAAGGTCTCTGCCCTCAGCAAAGATGGCGGCGGGGGCCGACACCACCGCGCCCCCCCCCCCCGGCTCCGCGGGGCCGGAGACCCCCTAAAAGACCCGAGCGGCGGCCCTCGGTCCGCCCCGCCCGGCTGCAGGGCTGGGCTGGGCTCGGCGTGGCCTCGGCCCCGGCAGCACCGGCAGCACCGAGCCCCGCTGCCCGGCCGGGCCGAGGCCGCTGTCGCCATGGCGACAAGCCTCGCAGCCAACCGCGCGCCGCTTCCGCTGACGTCCGTCCCGACACGTGGATCCAAGATGGCGGCGTCGGCGGCGATGGTGAGTGCGGCGGCCCCGGGGCCCGGCCCGGTGCGGCCCCGCGTCCCGCCCGCCGCCCGCTCGGCCTCGGTGGGGCCGGGCAGGCGGGGCGGCCCGGGGGGGCGGTGAGGGGGCTCCGGGTCTGGTCTGCACCGTGCTGGAGGGACGCGGCGCCCCGGCCTCAGCCCCGCCGGTCCCCGCGCCGGGCTCCCCGGTTCCTCCCGAGGCCTCGCAGCCGTCCGGCCTGTCCCCGGGGCCCGGGGACACGGAGCGGGTCCCTGCCCTGGCCAGCCCCGCGCCCCCTCGGCAGCAAAACTGGCTCCGTTGGCGGGATTTCTGGCGTTGTCCGGGCGGGAGGGACGCGGCGCCGGGCCGGGGGGCACGGCCACGGCCCGGAGGAGACTTTGGGTGCTCTCGGCTGTGAAGAGAACCGGCCTCCCCTCTTCCCCCCCTCGCCGTTCTCTTGCAGGGCAGCCGTGGCCCGAGCCCGGTGCTCATGCCGGGGGTAGAGGCTGTTGCCTTGCGTGCGGTTTTCCCAAGTGTTTTTGGCAGCGGTTATCGGCTTGGGGCGCGAAAAGCCACTTACCGCCCCACGCCTCCGTGTCGCTATTGTTAATGTTGAGTTATTCCCTGAGGCCTTCAGAACTGAAGACGTTTCTGGTGGGGGTTTGCTAAGGTAGGCAAGCATCCGTGCCACCTCCCAGAAGAGAAAACGAGCTGCTGCAATGTAAATTACCTGCCTGAAGTCTTGTAGTAGAAGAATGGATTTGCCTCCCTTCTTTCGTAGAAGGATATTTCCTCGATAATGTGTTGGAAGAATAGTTGTATGAATAAATGATGTGTGCTGATACAAAGGTCGCTGTTGGCCAGGGTAGAGGATGTGAGGTGACTCATGTAGCATAAAGATCAGCAGACCCTGGAAGGGAGATGGGAAGAGCGGAGGTTTTAATTTATTTTGCTTTAAGCATCTTCATACTCTGCTGCTTTCTCCCAGCCAGGGAGGAGGGAAAGTCTGAGCTGGCTTTGAGAGCTGAAGATGGTCCTACTGGGAATTTCCTTGTAGCCTTCTCTTTTATGAAAGGCAGAGAAGACTGCTAACAGCTCTCCTGGTGTCAAAGGAGCTCTCTGAAATCAATGTGAATGCAGCACTTGTCTCTTTTCGAAAGGCTTTCTGTGACTCCTTTGAGTGCAAGGGTGAGCTGGGCAGAGATGCAATAAAGATGAGCTTGTCCAAACAGTTGTCAGGGACATCTAATGAGGGAGCCCTGGAAAAAGGGGAGCAAGTGTCAGGCTGGCACCTCAGAGGGGGTGAAGAGCAGGTGCCATTAGCCCGGTGCGTGTCCTGCTAATGTGCCTGAGGGCAGAATAAATGTTACATGTCAGTTTGCCCTGTTACATGTGGAATTTTTGTTTCCTCCCACAAAGCAGTAGGTTATGTCTTTCTTTCCTTTCTGTCACCGTATTAAAGAGTTTCGGTAAGTGGAACGAGATATCAGAGCTTTGTGAATCTGGCTGGACAAATGGCTCTGCATAGGTTGTCTTTTTCCAGTTTGTTTTTTTTTTCAACTGTGTTTGAAAATGAAAAGCTCTTGGTTATGGCCATTGGATGCCCCTCGTGCCTTTCTCTGATGAAGAGAAATGGGACCATGTCCATTGTGTCATATGATACCCATCATTGTTTCTTCTTACTTCCTTTTCCTCCCTTTGAGCAAATACTATATTGTGTTCTTAAATTCTTATGTGGATTATGAAACTGTAAGACCTAAACCAGCCCTGATACAGTACCAGCCCTAATAAAATGCTTGCAGAATGCTTGAAATTGCTCGAAGGTTTCTTCAAGTTGTCAGTCTGTAGAAAACTTGCCAGTAGCCCAGGCAGGGATGTCCCAGATGCGAACGGTCTGGCCACAGGCCCCCTGGGCTACGTGAGAGCATGTTGGCAGAGTGCCACAGGGAAAAGCTTCTTGTCAGCTTCTGTTTCCCCCTTCCCTTAAATAAATGTTGGAGCTCAGACTCTGGCAGTGGTAGCTTCAGGGACCACAAGCCGTAGGGGGACACACGTGTGTGTGTGGCAGTGGCATAAATGCACATTGTAGGGTCTCGTCATGCTGGGATTCAGCTAAACAATTCCTCTCTTTTGGCAGCGTGTTTTGTAAACCTTTGGTGAATTCACAGCGAATGGCAATATTGTTTAAGCCTGTCTAAATGAGATAAATCAGAGAAAATGTGTCCTGGAATCGTCTGCAAATATCTAGTCTAGTGATAATTATCCAGAAGTAACTTCTTGGAGGGGGTTTGTGTGTGAAGTTCTGTTCTCGTTGCTGCGCACAGGACAAGAAATACCGTTAGAATGGCTGCAAGGAAGATTTGAGTTAATTTATTCGTACAGCTAAGTACTTTATTCTAAAGTTAATTACAGGAACGGATTTTCAAAACCTTTCGAGAGAGATCGCCCAGACTTCAGGGTAGCTGCCGTCGCCCGCAGAGGACGGGCGGGCAGCGCGGTTGTTCGTGTGGCTGCGCTGGCAGCACCCTGCCGGGGTCCCGGCGCGCCGCTCCGCCTCGTCTGGGGCCCTGACCTCCCGGGGCTGCTTTCTGCTGGTGTGAGAGAGAGGTCTGAGCGTGACTTCTGTCAGGGCCCGGTGGGCAAAAGGAATGTAGTGACATCTGAAAGAGATTTTTCTTTTTTGAGAGCAGGAGGTTTGCTTTCCTTCAGCAGGCTTTTTGCCTGTGATAGATCGCTTCAGCGTGAGTAGTGCTTCTCACCGGGCGCTGTGATTTGGGGGACAGGGGCAGGAGGGGCTGATTGTGCTTCTGCAGTTACTTCTCTCATTTAGGTTGTACTCCCCCGAGAAAGGGTGTCTCGCAAGGGTGTGTCTGCATGCATGCATATAGTAAAATAATAAGGCTTAGTCAATCCAAATTATTTTTGTCGGTTTGCAGCTGGGTTTTGCTTCATCTGGAGTCGTGCATATTTGTTTTGCTACTTGTTGCTTTGTTGTACAATTTCCTGACACCTCAGATGCAAGGTTGTCACCTGAGAGATTTATATTTTTTTTTTTATGCATGTGTTCTGCAATATAAATAGTTGGTAAAGGCCACAAAGGCTGTTTCTCCTGTCTGCTGAAAGTCTGGGGGCTTCTGTGACTGAACTAAAGCAGAGCTCCATCCTGCATGTTTTGACCTTGCGGAGGAGATAACTTAGCTTGGAGGCATCTCCCAGATAAGACGATTTCCTGGCCAGGCCTGTGAGTTCTGCAGATGTTTTGGCACATATCCGTGTTGTTATTGCTAAACTGCTACCTTCGTTTGGGGAAGACAAAGCAGATCTGTCAGGACGGAAGCAAAGATCCTGATAAGCTGGTTTCATCCTGCAGGGGCTCTGCCAGGAGTGAGCTGCTGCCTTAGGAACGTGTACTGGGCTTTTCCTTCAAATTCGACTTCCAGAGCTCCCCCACCTGTTGCATAGCAGCGTTCCCACTTCTTGCTACCAAATGTTTTTTCCTGGAAAGGCTTTCCATAGTCCCCCTCTTGTCTTTTCTGTTGCCTGGTGCTGCCTGAGTCATCATCATCTGTATGCAAAGAGCCTGATTTCTGCCAAAGGTGTCATCAAAAATGTCATCTTCTACATGCTTGCCTGTCTCCTGAGCACCTTCCAGTGTTCTGTCCTTGTCATCTGGTAAGCTCTTCAGGGCAAGGATGGCAGTGGTGTGGTTTTGGTGTTTGTTAAGTAATAGTGCTGTGTATGTCTGACACTTCAGTGACGAATGAAGCGAGATAATTGCTACAGGTCGCTGGCTGCTGTGGAGTGTGATATGTAGGACAAGAGTGCTGTTTCCTTCCAGTGCTTCACCTGGCCGGGAGACCTTTTCCTCCTTGGTCGGAGAGTCACAGAGCATTCTCTTACAAGATCAGAGAAGGCAAAATTTAGTGGAGCACAGAACACAAACCCCACGTTGTTTCAAGATAGTATTGAAGCCCAAGCAATTGTAAGAGTGCTTCCCAGTAGCTTTTCAGATGAGGATTTTTGTCTGCTCTAGCTGCATTAAGATGTGCTTAGAATGGATCTGAAAATCTCCCTTGTAAGCAAAAATGATATGGCTGATAATTTAGTATTAACAGATTTCATGTAGATGCCTAGCATTTGCATCTTAAATACAGTTTAGATTTAAACCCCTCCAATCTTTATGACTTTTTATTTCTCCATCCTGCTCAGTGCCAGTAATTCTGAATGCTCTCTTGACCCTCAGTGGTGCCTGGGCCAAATGCACCCTACTAGCTTCAGAATAAGCCAAAAGGAAGGTGATGAAGAGGAAGGGGGTGTGGGGGCAATAAATACAGATTATCTTCCCACCCCTCAACCTGATGATTGGTGGGAGGGTAGTGCTGAACCCCAGGCCCTGCTGAGCCAGAGCAGGCACCAGCCTGGTGCTGGCTCCTTTCAGCCCGAGCCGGTCTTGCTTGGCCAGGCTGTTTCCCTTGCCTTTCCCTTCTATATTTGTCTCCCCACCCCTGGCTGCAGAACTCCTGCGTGCGGGTGGACGGGTGGTCAGTCACGGAGGCTGGCTCTGCCTGCCCTGCCGAGGACATGCAGGGGAAGGCAGCAGTTGGGTTTATTATGGCTGCAGCATTAGCTCAAGAGTTGTCCCAGACCAGACTCTGGGGTTGGTTTGTTTGTTTTTATTTTTCCAGTGGTGCCATACACACGGGGAGTTTAGGAGAACGGGCTGGAGCTAGTAACACAGTGAGATTATACCAGAGTCGATGCTCTAACCCAGCCAAGCTGCTGCTGTCTAATACTCTCTAAAGCTCAGTTTTCACACAGCCTTCCTGCTCGCGCTTGCACTGGGCTCTGTTACCTGAGGAAGCAGCAAAGTCCGTTAAAGGGTTTGCAGCCACGCTGGTGTACAGGGTCTGGTTTGTGCTGGAGCCTCTGCGGCACTGACTGAACCTCCCAGCCTGACTCGTCTCCCCACTCCCTGAAAAAGGGGTGAAAACTTCTTTTGTCTTGTTACTGAGCTGTGTTGTGGCCCGGAGCGGGGAGGAAAGAAGAGTGGGATAGGAGGGACCATCCCTTGGGATGCAGCGAGCGGCTCGGTTGGTGTCAGACCTTACCCTACACTAACTACTCCACTGCAGGTGGCGGCGCGTGAGCTTTGGTCTGTAAGTGGCTCCTGATGAGCAGAGCTGACAGATCCAGTGTCAGGGCTACGGCCCTCTAGAGAAGTAATCCATGGAGCTTTCTGACACAGGGGTGTTAGACGGGTGGGAGGAGAAAAGTCAGATGACAGCCTGCCAGAGGAAGCGTGTTAGATAAGTGCATTTTCCTTGTGGTTGAGCAAAGCGACTGTTTTCCTAATTGTAGATGAAGAGACCGAGACACACAATGCAAAGTGACTTGATGAGAGTCACAAAACAAAGTTAAGACTAGCTTTTCTGAATTTAGTTTGTGGTTAATCACCTGACTGTACAGCCTTTCTAATGTCTGGGGTGAACACTTTCAGTGTTGTTGCCCATCTCTATGTTGTTCCCGTGTTTCTGTTGTATTTTAATGTTTCTTCTCTTTGCAGGAAAGGCTAAGGTATATGCTGGTTTTGCTGTTGTTGCTGCACGGTACAGAGTCTTTCTATGTGCCTGGTGTGGCTCCTATCAACTTCCACCACAATGATCCTGTAGAAATAAAGGTAGGATGAACTTAGATGGAACTGTTGGTCTGTTTGTTTTGGGTTTTCTTGTGGTTTGTTTTTTTTCCTTCCTTATAGCAGCTAAGTGGGAGTAGGAAGTCAAATTTGAGGGTCCTGTTATTAAAACTTGGGGGGCAGATATTTTCTCTTTTTCACAACATCTGTGTAGGGTGTTGGGGATAAGCCCTCAGGTGGTCACTGTCGTCATCTTATCCTGTGGTTCCCAACAGGACTCTCTTTCTTGCTTCTGCTATCTTCTACCAAATTCCTTCAGCAGTTGCACTAAAGTCCTCAAGATGTTGCTCTGGTTGGGAAAAGGGCTTTCTTTCTCACTGTAGCTTTGAAGTGAATTTAATCAGAGATTTTTCTCCAGCGTTATACTGACTCTCAAAGAGCTTATAGAACGTGGGCCTTTAGGTGGTAGGTGAATGGTTGAATAAAGAAGTGGTTTGAATCAGACCTTTTCAATTTTCTCTTCTACCCAGTTTGCTCATGTTGTGTCTTCAGGTCAAGAGAAACCCTCGATAAGCCTTTTGGTGTCAGTTTGGTGCAGGCATTTGTCCTTAAGCACTGTAGATCTTACAGCCCAGGCTTGCTGAAGAGCTGTTCCTGTGCAGTATTGCTGGTAGTGAATGATGGAACTGCTTCACCCATACAGAAGAAGCCAGGTTTTGTTTCCAGACATCAGCAATTTGTAGCCCATTTAATTTATTTTTCTAAAGCTGTGGCCTCTGTCTCAGCAAAATCCAGCACCCTTGGGGATGCCGAGGCTGGCTGCTCCCATATGAAGCACAACACAATTTTCTCTTTGGCCACAGGCTGCCAGACGTAGGCTATTTTTAAGCAAATGAGACTTGCCTGTGGCTACAGTGAGCTTCCCAGAAGCAGGGGGTATTGGAATGGCTGTTCTCAAAGGGATTTCATGAGCCAAACGCTTCCTCAAGCGATAAGGCAAGTCAGCGTGTTTGCCAGGGCTCTTCCAATAAATGACCTTGGCGGATTGCAGAACACTCTTGGTTTTCGGAGCAACTGTGGCCTTGGCTATCGTGGTATGTCTCTGCACTTCCCTTGTGCCATGTGATTTGTGGGAACCCCAGAAGAGTTTGGGTTTTGTCACCACCCATTGTCTTCCCGATCTGATGGCTCTCTGGCTTTCCCTACAGACCTAAAAATTGCTGAACTCTTCATATCACTAGAGGCCAGACCTCTAGGTCCAGTGTGACATGAGTTATTTTTTGAGAAAATAACCTGCAGTCTTGTATGAAATGTGACAAATGTGACTCTTGAGTCTCTTTTGAGCTCTTTGTTGTTTCTTAGGACTCCACTCAGTCATAAACTGGTGAAACCAATCCACTATGCTGCTTTCTTCAAGCGTTTCTCAGTTTGTAAATGAATTGCTACTAAATCATAGTGTAGAGAATGTACAACAGAAAGCCGGAGCTCTTCCAGGAACAGCTGTCTTTTTTTTTTTTTTTTTTTTTTTTAAATTCAGCAGCTTCCAAAAGTGAGCTCTATGGGAGAAGTCACGAAGGAAGCTCAGCTTCTGCCTGCTGTTGAGAGGATAGGAAACTGTCTGAGTTCTTTCATGGGGATAATCCTTCTGTTCTTCCTCCAGGCTGTGAAGCTAACCAGCTCGCGAACCCAGCTACCATATGAGTACTACTCACTGCCCTTCTGCCAGCCCACCAAGATAACATACAAGGCTGAGAATCTCGGTACGTATCTGTTGAGCAGCGTGTTCCCCAGCAGTAAGTGGGCTGCTGTTTAGGAGCTGCGTGAGGGTGTGTTTACAGGAGTAAAAGCAATTGCAAATGTCATCTCTAACAAACTGTGGAGAGCCTGCTTCCTCTAATTTATATGCTGGCTGTTTGCAAGCTAGGATGTCCATCTATTGGAAAGAGGAAACGCCTTACTTGCTTCATAAGTGGTGCTTGCTTCTTCCAGCAAAATAGCTAAACTGCCCTTCAGTCCTGCCCTTGCATCTGTGGTCACAAGGGAGACTTGCTGTCGCCGTTCCGGCTGTACGGTGCGCTGCCAGCAGCGGGATCGGTGCCGAGAAGCCTGGCAGTCTTCAACCCTGCCCCTATTTTCTTATTTTCCAGGTGAGGTTCTTCGGGGGGACCGAATTGTAAATACACCTTTCCAGGTTTCCATGAACATGGAGAAGAAATGTGAAGTTCTGTGCAACTTTCCCAATAAGCCGGTCACTCTGACAGTGGAGCAGAGCAAGTTGATCGCCGAGCGGATCAGGGAGGATTACTATGTCCATCTGTGAGTCACCTCGAGCGTGGGTTTGTGTCAGTGGGGATTCTGTGTTGTGGACAAATTTGATGTGAGATCTGTGTTTTCAGCATTGCTGATAACCTCCCTGTGGCAACACGGCTGGAGTTTTATTCCAATCGTGAGGAAGAAGAGAAGAAGAAGGAGAAGGATGTGCAGTTCGAGCATGGATACAGGCTTGGGTTTATGGACGGTAACAAGGTAGAGAATCCAGGTGCTGTCTGAGGGGTGCCTGGAGGAGATCTGGGTGTCTGTCAGAAGGCGTTAGAAGTCTAGCAGAGAATATCAGAATCAGGAATGCAACCAAAAGGTTTTAGAGAGTGGATATATGAGAGGGGTCTCTTACTGGAAGAAGGGGGTGGGTGCTGGGCTACTGGTACTAGAGCCAGGAGCCTTAGCGTCGTCTCGCTGTGTAACGCTGGACAAACTCAGGCAGTGGTTTCCCCTCAGCAGAACCAAGGCAGCGCACCCCAAAGGCGGGCAAATCTTCGATGGTCTTGGAGCATCTTCTATTTAAAAAAAAAAAAAAAAAATCAACCCCAAAAAACAGTCAAGCGTCTGTGGGAGGAACAGCTGCTTAAGTTTGCAAATGGAAACTTAGCATGTGTATTCCTGCAGATGTTTTCCATGGCTGCGTGCCCTCAGATTAGCTGTTTGACTTAACAGACGGGCCTGTCCTGCTCAGTGTTCAGTTGCACACGCAGCGCTGAGCGCTCGAGCCGAAGTTCCTGCGGGTGAGTGAGCCTGCTGCTCCAGCTTGGGCTCGTGGTGCTTTCTTCATGTGATAGGTGTTGTAAGAGCCTTCTGAAAGCACGAGCTCAGGACAGCTGTGGGCCCCCCCGGAATCTGGGTAATGTACATCTGCCTGGTAGAAAAAGCAGGCAAGAGGCTCGGGGTTGTAGCTACTGAGGTCTCTCCAACCTAGATTTGGTGATTCTGCTGCCACTGGAGTCGTGGTTGAGATGTGAGAGATAATGACATTTTCCAGGCCAGAAATAGACTGAAACATTGTCCCTGGTGCCTGGAGTGGTTGAGGTGTTACCTTTTCAACATCTCTGTTCTCTCCTCTTGTTCTTGTAGCCTTGGAAGGCGTTAGCCTGATCTTGCTCTGTAGCACAATGCATCTGGGAACAGTTGGAGTCTTTAGTTCTCTGCACCGAAGCTGCTTTCTGCAGTTGTTGCTTCTGAACGTTGCCTGTTCCTCCCTTGGGGTGCTAACGTTTTATTTAATGTCAATCTGTTTTAGTTCTACCTGCACAACCACCTCTCCTTCATCCTTTACTACCACAGAGAGGATGTGGAAGAGAACCAGGAGCCCACCTACAGGGTTGTGCGCTTTGAAGTGATTCCCCAAAGTATTAAACTAGAAGGTGAGAGACTCTTAGGGGGGGAACAAAGGAGAAAAATCTCTTGTAGGGCCAAAAGTTGAATGTCACTGATGTGTCAGGGTGCCAGTTGTTGCTTCCGTTATGGTTTCGGGGCACAGAAATGAGAGGGTCCAAATTAGAAAAACAATAAACCCCTTTGTTATTAAGGAAGTACCAACAGGAGAAGTGCAATCCATGGAAAATTAATTCATATAAAAAGATCTGAGTTTGAGGTTTGGGGGTTGGATTTTTTTTGCACTGTGTCATCTAGCATGAGGTTTGTGTGGCATCTATCTCTTGTTGGGGCCCAGATCTCGCCGGCTGGGACACTACTGGCTAGTCTAGAGACCCACCGAATGTTTGGAACTGTTCTAGGGGGGTTGAATTTTAAAAATAACGATGAGGGGGAAAGCACTCCTACCTCAGTGAGCCCAACATGAAACAGGTGTCTTGAAGGCAAGTTGCTCGTCGTGTGTATCGTCCCGTGCAACTGTCCCCTGGCGGCAGCAGGCTCTGCTGGAGAGCTCTTGTTTCTCAGTGTATCATGTGGAACTGAGGATTTGTTCATGGTCTCAGTCCTTGGAGTCAGAGCCTCTGGCTTTTACCCTTCCAGTTAAGGAGAACCCTGTGCCTAGCTTTCCTTAAAGTTTGTTAACGGTGCTCCACTGCTGCCTGTGATAATAGCTGTGCGAAGTGCAGCGCGGGTGAGAGGGGCCGGAGTGCTTCCCCTGGGGAATTTGGAGGGATTGCAGCCCGGTGCCTCGGGGGTGGGCAGTGGGAGAGGAGGTGCCCGAGGGAAGGGCTCACCTGGTGCCTGCCCTGCTTTCCCTTACAGACTTGAAGGCTGATGAGAAGAGCATGTGCACCCTGCCTGAAGCTACAGGCTCTGCCCCTCAGGAAATAGATCCCTCCAGAGAGAACCAGTTGCTCTTCACCTACTCTGTCCACTGGGAGGTGAGGGAGTGATGGGAAGCTGGCTGGCAGGTGGTGCTCCCGTGTCTGTCACAGAGGTGTTGTGGAAGACACTGGGAATGTGCTGGTATGATAAGAACTTTCCTGTTCTTTCAGGAAAGTGACATTAAATGGGCTTCCCGCTGGGACACCTACCTCACCATGAGTGACGTGCAGATTCATTGGTTTTCCATCATTAACTCTGTTGTGGTCGTCTTTTTCCTTTCAGGTGAGTGAGATGTGTGAGGTGGAGAAGGCTTTGCCATTAACCTGCAGGGAACTTTCTTTAAGCCTCAGCTGGAGGTGGCTCGAGGAGGGATGTGGCCATGGCTGAACCTGACCAGAAGGGGCAGGAAACAAACATTAGCCCTTCAAACCTCCCAGTTCAGGCAGCGCCCCACGGGATCAGACAATTACTCACTTCTGCTCTCTGAGTGGGGGGAGTTGAGGCAGTAGAATGTGGTTAACACATCTTGCAGGTCTATATTTAAGGGAAAAACAAAACACAGGAAATCCCCAGTGCCCCGTTCCTGCTGGAATACTGCCTGGGGTTTTGTTTCTGGCTCTGCTGAAGGCCGGGGGATGTGGCTGAGGACTCAAGGCTTCCTCTGCTAGCCAGAACTGAGTGGTGGTGGTGGGAGCCATGGGCTTGCACAGCGTGAGAGCAGCACAGCCATGTAGGAGCCTCTGAAATAAACTTGGTTTGTGCTTGTTTTCAGGTATCCTCAGCATGATCATCATCCGGACTCTCCGGAAGGACATTGCTAACTACAACAAGGAAGATGACATCGTATGTTCTTGGAGCTGGGATGAGAGAGGGAGGGAAGCACAGATGAGGAGGGATCTAGTCTGAAGACGCAGGTGGATTGGCTATATCCTTGCCACTGCTTTGCTTTGAGCCCCGAAGATGGGAAGGGCAGTTCTGGCATGTGCTGTCACAACACCTTTGGCTCTCTCTGCACTGGCAGATCACTGGTTCAGATGTCTTCAGACCCAAGTAATGACTGCAGACAGTTCCATAAATTTGTGCCCCAGCACTGACAGTTCAGGCCTGAACTGTTTTAACCCCAAGAGGAAAGAAGTTTAACGAGAATGATAAAATTCTGTAGAAGAACTGGATACAGGGAGATTGACCTCTTAGGCTGGCTGTGGTGGGATGTTCATTCCCACCGTCAGACCGTACCTAAATACCTTGTTTTCCTGTTGTTCCTGCAGGAAGATACTATGGAGGAATCTGGTTGGAAACTTGTGCACGGAGATGTCTTCAGGCCGCCGCAGTATCCTATGATCCTGAGCTCCCTCCTGGGTTCTGGAATTCAGCTCTTCTGTATGATCCTGATCGTCATCTGTGAGTGGCACGTGCTGCGTGGGGTGGCTGTAGCAAGAGGAGGAACGATGCTCAAGGGCACCTGTAGCTCCCGTTGACTTCAGCCTGTGCTCACCTTGGCTCGAGTGAAGCCGCCTAAGGCTGCCTCCTGTTGCGGGGCTGATCAAGGCGACAGGCCTGTGCTCAGCAGTTCTGAGTTTCTAGATAGCATTTCCCAGCTGACGGCATCTTTTTGGATTTGTATTTCCTCTTACCAAGCTAGGAGACGTGGGTGATAGTGGGCTGGGAGACTGTGGCAGGTGTGTGCCTCGCCTTCTGAGCTGGACCCGCTCAGACCTCTGGGGAGATTGAGGCTGAAGCCCGGTCTGTGGCTTGAGATCAAAGCTGTGGCTTCCTCCCTCTGGCCAGTGCTGGAGGCCGTGGGTGCGTTACGCTTCGAAGGAGATGAGGCCTGTGCCAAAGGCAGATTCCAGGCAGCCCAGCCGTGGCAGGCAGGTGGGACAGGCCCCTGCTCTGCAGAAGCTGGCTAGCACACACCCATCAGAGCTGCTCTTTTGTCCTTTTTCTCCCTTGCAGTCGTTGCGATGCTGGGGATGCTCTCACCTTCTAGCCGGGGTGCGCTGATGACTACGGCCTGCTTTCTCTTCATGTTCATGGGGTAGGTGTCTCCACTGCTCCCCCCAGCACTGCTGGCCTGCCCGCCCCTTATCTCCCCGACAACTAAAGCTAATTTTTTTTTCTCTTGACTTGTCTCTGTCCAGGGTTTTTGGTGGATTCTTTGCTGGCCGCTTGTACCGGACTCTGAAAGGACATCGATGGAAGAAGGGAGCCTTTTGTGTGAGTCTCGTGGTGTCCTGTGCTGTTTTGCTGACGGCAAGATAACGTGGATAAGCTCCGTGGGTATTTGTGGGTAGCTGGACGCAGCCTGGCTGCGCTGCAGAGGTTTGGTGTGGATTGAGCCCTCGTAGCTTTGCAGGAAAGGACGAACACCAGGGCTCGTACTGTAGTAAAGCAAGAGGATTGTCTGAGATCCTCACTTACTCCACACGTGCCTTGTCCCAGCAGCGGACTCATTAAAGAGAGACATCTGGCTAATTAGTCATGTGTTTTCTCTTCACCTGTGCTTGCTCTTGCAGACAGCCACGCTGTATCCGGGCGTCGTCTTTGGCATCTGCTTCGTCCTGAACTGTTTCATCTGGGGGAAACACTCCTCTGGAGCGGTAGGTACCACCTCTGCCCTGGAGCCTGCTGGCTGGGAGGCGGGTGCCAGGGCTGCCAGGGAGTTGCTTCGTCTCACGGTGGTTTTCGAAGTGTGGGTGTCAGTGTGGGTCGGCTGGGGAGTTGGGCTGGGCGGTGACTTCAGGGCAGGTGGGCTGTCAGCCTCACGTCCGTGACTCGGTGTGATTGCAGGTGCCTTTCCCTACCATGGTGGCCTTGCTCTGCATGTGGTTTGGGATCTCCTTGCCCTTGGTCTACCTGGGTTACTACTTTGGATTTCGCAAACAGCCGTATGACAATCCCGTACGGACAAATCAGATTCCCAGGCAGATCCCGGAGCAGAGGTGGTATATGAATAAATTTGTGGGGTGAGTGATGAGTGTCTAGGAAATACGGTGAGTTAAGCCCCCTCCCCTCAGCCTCCTTGGGTTGCTGAACGTCCCTTTCTGCTGGTCTCTGGACACGGATGGCAGGTGTGTTTCCCTGAGTAACGCGGTATCAGGGACGATCTTGACAATTCGGACGTGGTGTGACTTGTACAAGTGGTACGTGCTCAGCAGTGGGAGCAGCTGTGCCATTGACTGCGTGAAATTTCTTCTGGTAATCTGGACCTGTAGAGCTTTTGCTAGGAGCGCGCTGCGTGGTTACAGAAGACTTTTGGTGACCAGACAGTTATATTGTGCTACTTATCATTTTTCTTTCTTGCTCTGTAGGATTCTCATGGCTGGTATTCTGCCTTTTGGAGCTATGTTCATTGAACTGTTCTTCATTTTCAGTGTAAGCATTTAACCCATTTTGCTCCTGAACAGGATTCCTCTCGTGCCAAAGCTTTTGAAGGGGAGGGGCTCCCGCTGACGCAGGCTCCTCTTGCTGTACTGGCTGAAGGGGCTGGCAGGTTCCCTTCAGGCCCTTCAGTCTTGTTCCCAGAGAGAGCTGGGCTGTGGGTCTCTTCAGGCTGTCCTCTTGCTGAAGGCACCTGCCGATATCTCTGGGAACACTCCCTGGTGATTTGAAGGATGGTGGTAAAGAGGAAAGCTTACTGTAACGCTTTGTCAAGGAGGGGTCCTGGTGTTAAGACATTCACTGAGCCATTCCAGCTGCTGCCTGGTTTTCACCCGCTATGGCTGGGGAGGAATTTGCTGTTCCATTGCTAGGGAGGTGGGGGGGAATGAACAACCTACCTCAGAGCTGTCTTTGGGCGCCCTTTTGCAACCTGATTCCTCTGAAGTAACACTCTGAAATGCGTTAGATCTGCGGTTTCATCTACCTGAGGCTGAGAGGCTCCTCGTTTTCCCTTGGGTTAGCTGCTGGCAGTTAGTCTCAGGTCCGTTGATTGATCACAGGAGCATGGACACAAATTTCTGCTCTGTCTTTGTTTCAGGCAATCTGGGAGAACCAGTTCTATTACCTTTTCGGCTTTCTGTTCCTGGTGTTTATAATCCTGGTGGTATCGTGCTCCCAAATCAGCATCGTCATGGTGTACTTCCAGCTTTGTGCTGAGGTGAGATTTCCACATTTGTAGTTTCGGTAGGTCAGGGTACTTGCTGCTGGAAAAGCCCAGGTCGTGTCCGTGCTGCTGCTCAGAAATCCAGAGTGGCCCAGCTTCGCGAGTGTGATTTGCTCCTTGACACCTCTTGACTTCAAGGAGAGTTGAAGCTCTTTGATTATCTGCTAGGCTGGGAACTGCTGGTTTATACCAGAAGTTCTGCTGGGAGCTGGGCATTTTGACCTGACATCTCTTCCCAGAGAAACATTTTCATTCCATCTACATACAAAATGAAATGCAGGGCCAGAGGTGAGCCATCTTCTTCGGTAGCGGGTGCTGTGCTGCTGATCTGGTCTTGCTTCACTCTCAGCTTTTCATCCTCTGTTTGGAAACGCTTCTGTGACAAAATAGTCCCCCAGCCCCAAACTCTGGTTCTCCTTTGAAGGAAAATGGGCGGGGTTCTCCCCGTCCCAGGGAGGTCGTGGCTCCCCCGAAACAGTGACACAGGCGAAGGAAGCCTGCGGGGTAATGCGGCTTTTTCCCCTGACAGGATTACCGCTGGTGGTGGAGGACCTTCTTGGTGTCTGGAGGATCTGCCTTCTACGTGCTGATCTACGCCGTCTTCTACTTTGTGAACAAGGTACTGTCACTCCCCTTGTGGGAAGGTGCCACCTTGCTAGAGGAGATAATTGGTTTTGGGAAGGGAGGTGGTGGGACAGCCTAGTCCTGGCGTCCCCCTGTGCCGGAGGGGAGGGGAGGGGAGGCTGTACGTGCCCGAGGCCCAGCCCGTGTTACGGGTGCAGAGTGCTGTTCCCTAACCCCCCCCCCCCCCTCGAAGGGAATCGCCCTTCAGCAGCACAAAACCAAATCGAGTGGAGGGTTTCCTCCCCTCACCTCCCTTGCAGAGGGCACTGGCTGCTTCGGGGAGCTCACTCCTGCTACCTGAGGATGTGATTTTGCTTGTTTTTCTCCTCTTCTGTTTTAGCTGGATATTGTTGAGTTCATTCCCTCCTTACTATACTTCGGCTACACCGCCCTTATGGTCTTGTCCTTCTGGCTCCTCACTGGCACCATTGGCTTCTATGCAGCCTACATGTTTGTGCGGAAGATCTACGCCGCAGTGAAAATAGACTGAAGATGCAGAGACCCAGCAGAGAGGAGACACCTCTGAACGCGTGTCCGCCTGGGAGTGGAGGGGACATCCTCTCCCAGCTCTTTTAAGGAAACAAAAATCCAGTGGGAGAGTGACAAGAGAAATAAATAACTCCTCATTTTGGAATGTAACTTTGGCACAGTGTACATGGAATCTGGGCTACTTCTGGGGGGAAAAGGGGTCTGTAGATACCTTACATTTTAACTTTATTATCCTGTTCCATATTTAAGGGAGTTTTTTTAGCAGAGAAATGTCCCTCTGTATAAGTAAACCCCCTTTTTGCTAATTCATCTTTTTTTTTTTTTTTTTTTTTTTATGTTGATGACGAATGGATTTGAGACAGCAGTGGAAACACTTGTGAAAACGTTTTCTTCCAGCCCCTAGGGTGCTCTAGGATTCAGGGAGACTCTTCAGACAAATACCAGACCGGGTTTCTTTCCTGCCTTCACGTCTGCACAGAAGAGGGAGCCTGACTACGGCAAAGCAGAAGGAGCCCGGAGGCTTGCCCAGCGTGAGGCCGGCGCGCTCTGGCCGAGGAAGTCCTGGCTTCGGCTTGTTTACAGTCGGACGGAGGTGCCGTTCGGAGCCGGGGAAGTTGCAATTTCACCCCGAGGGAGCTTGAGAACTGCAGCCCTCGGTGTCGCGTCTCCCTCCCTCCCTCCTGGGACAGCACGGGCCGCCCCAGCCGCCTCCCCTGGCAGGGCTGGGGCGGGGGGGGCGGCGATGCCAGCGGGCAGCAGCGTGCTGGTGGCAGCGCCCGGGGGTGTGTGTGTGGGGGGGGGGGGCTGCCCCGGGGTCCGCTCTGCCCCGGCGGCGTGTGGGAACGGGGCAGGGGTCCTTCCCGGGGCCGGCTGCGCCCCCGCCTTCGTGCCAAGCGATCGGCTGCGGTATTGGGCCCGAGTTGTGGTGCGGGCAGGAGGGGCGGGAGGGGCAGGAGGGGCAGGAGGGGCAGGAGGGGCGGGAGGGGCAGGAGGGGCAGGAGGGGCAGGAGGGGCTGGGGACGGAGGCAGCGGCCCCGCGGAGCTCTCCCCTGGCCCGGCGCGTGCTGCGGCCGCTCCTGCTGCCCTCTCCTCCTCCTCCTCTTGGATTCTCTACCTCCAGGGAACAGAACAAGCGCACGCCCCGAAGCTGGATTTTGTTCTTCTCCACAAAACAGTCCAAGCCCTCCGGGATAGCTGGTATGGGTTCTTATGCAGTGGACTCCTTTTTTTTTTTTTTTTTTTTTTTTTTTTTTTTACCATGGCTTGATGCCTGAATCAGCCCATGGGAAGCTCTTTTTAGAAGAGGTTAAAGTCTTTTTATTTTGGTCACTTAGAGGATATTTACCAGTAAAAAGGCTCCATGTTACAGTGAAGGCTCCCTCCATCCCCAGACTAGCTGGACGCAGTCAGGGCTACAGGGGAGAGGCTTTTTAGTGAGATCTGGGAAAATTTTGCTTTTGCTTCTTGCTGCAAGAAGCAGCCAGGTCTCCAAATGACCAGCTGCCGCAGGTGACGCCTTTCCAAGCCAGAACTGTCCAAAGCCCCCCCTGTTACCAGCACTGACGTGCACCCCTGAGGGGTTTGGGGCTGTTTTTTAGCCGCAGTTGCCAGAAGTTTCCACCAGGTCCACACACGGACCAGCGTCTCCTACCGACGGCCTTGCCCCTGCGGGGACCTGCCCTCCCAGGCGGCCCGACTCCCCGGCACGCAGCCCCTCCAGCCTCGCCCGGCAGCTCCTTCGGCCGCCCTCATGCCAAAGTCTCATCAGCCAGGAGCCAAGGATGGAAAAAGGGAGCGGGGGAGGCGCAAGCCAGCTGTGCTGTGGAGTCCTGCGTCAGTTCTGATTTGAGATCCCTCTCTGAGATTTTGGTTGATTTTTTAATTTTTTTTTTTTTCCTTCCCCTTTTATTTTCTGCCCCTGCCCCAGCGGAGAGGCTCAGCCAGCATTGATTTCTCTCCTTTCCCTGAAGTGTTTTCTCTGTATTCTTTGTAATTTTTAATTAATGTATGTATTCTTTGTGTCCTATTGTAAATAAATCCGCCATTGTCCTGTTGTCCTGCTTTCCTGGGTTCTCCTCAGCCACCTCTCGGGATTTTCTTTTCATAACACTTGGCCTGTTGGACACCCACGTGGGCTTCGACGTGTGGCTTTGGTCATGAAGCAGAGCTTGGAATACACCGCGCTTTTTCTTTGTAGTATTTTTCTCCTGGTGAAGTTGACTGAGCAGGACCTTTCTCCCAGCGTGGCACGTCCCGCGTGCTGCAAACGCCGCCGGTCGAGGCGTTTGGGTCTGCCCCTCACCGTACCGCTCGCCTGGGCCGCAGGGTAAGAACGCTGAACAGCTCGTCTGTCGTGCGCGGAACACGGTGCGTGACGTGCGTAGGGCTGTCGGTGGCCGAGGGGCTGCGAGCGTTTGGGCGAGCACACGGTGCTTCAGAGCAGCAGAGGTGGGGGGAAACGGGGAAGGGAGCTGCCCTTTCCTTCCTCTGAGTCGTGTTTTGGAGGTTGCTGGTGCCGTGGGAGCCAGACCTCCCCTGTCAGCTTCCCGCCCGACGCCTTCCCCGGCGGTTGTGGGTTTCTGGGGGGGGTGTGCGTTTGTGTGTTTCTGAGGGGGGTGTGCGTGGCAGGAGGGCGACAAGCGGCCGTTGAAGAGGGGAGGGAGGGATGGTGACTTGGCCTCTCCTGGGATGTTTTGCCCAGCAGAGCCGTGGAGGTGCAGAGCCGTGGAGGTGCGCAGCCGGGGCCGGTGACAGATCACGGGGGGGGGGGGGGGGGGTCGGTGTTGGGGGCTGCTGATTGTTGGTGACCCTGATCAGCTGCCGAGGCCGGAGCAGGCAAAGATTTTAATTAAAACTCGGGAATGGTGGGAATAGTCCCTTCTCCCCTTAGAAAAGGCAGAGGGAGGCTTCAGCTCCACCAGCAGACGATCCGTGCTGAACTTGGCGGTTTTGGGCAGAGCAGAGCAGCGGCGCTGCCGCCGTTGGGTCCTGTCGGAGCCCTCGGGGGGGAGGGCACCAAGAAATCAGATCCCACCCAGAAAAGTACCTGAGCACTGGAAAGGGCTGTCGGCTTTCAAAGCCTGTTCTGAAAGGGAATTCCCGGGAGGGCAGGATCCCCTTCGCCCTCTTTGATCCGTCAAAACGCTTCTGCGGCTGCTGTCGGCCGGGTTTGGTTCTGGTCGTGCTGGCGGGGGGAGCGGGCTGCGCTCCTCCGAAATGCTTCCAGGCAGAATGGTGGGGGCAGCGAAACCAAGCGACCAGAACCTTCCCTCTGCCAAACATCATCCTCCTTGAGCAGGGAGAACGGTGTCGGCTGTCGCTACATCCCCAGCAGGGTGCTGGGTCTTTGTCTGGAGGGGGGGTGGGTGTCTAATTCTTTGCTTGAAAGAAACTTAAAAGCCTCTGTAGATTCACGTAGGGAACTGGGTCTTTGACTCGCCTCATGATTCTGTCCTAACCCGAAAAGCCCGTTCCCTTCCCAAAAGACACCTGGGGCAGATAATTCAAATGCTTTTAATACACAACTTCATTATAAAAAAAATGCTTTCAATTTGAACTTCATTTTGCAAGACATTTTGAAAGAGCTAATTTTAGTGAACCTTACCTTTCCTAATGGCACTTAATATCTTTGCAATTTAAAAACCTTGTTTACGGCCCCCCAAATACTCCAGTAAAAGAGGTTATTCACTGTGTGTAAAAGTGCTAGAAAAAGGGGTTTTAGGCAAACGGTTGAGCTTTAACAATGGGAAGCTTCTGGCTTCGGCCGCGGTAGCTGCAGGGCGGAGGTCAGGCCCCGGGCCTGTCGCGATCCAGCGCAAAAAGAGCCGCCGCGTCTCTCCCGCCGGCTCCCGGGGCCGAGAAAGCCCAAACCCCCTCCCTGCAACGGGGCGTTTGCGGGCTCGGGTCGAGCATCACCCCCGGGGCAGACGCGCCCGCGGCCGAGCTCTGCCCGCTCCAGGCTTTGCAGCGCGACTCGGGGGCTGCAGAGGCCCCGCAGCAGCTTTTCCTCCGGCAGCAGTTTCAGAGCTTGGCCGATTCCGGGGGTGAGTCTCCAGGGCTTCGCAGGATCCCCCTGCCAGCCCTCCTGCCACCGCCCCGTTGTCGGAGCACCTTGCAGGCAGGCGCCTCTGCTCAGTAGCCTCGTTTAAGGAAAACGGCGGTACAAATGTTACAAAACCACCTTCCTAAAAATAGCTTCCAGATCTTGGGGATCACTCGTGGGGGGGGGGGGGGTGGAACGCACAAAGCAGGCAAGGCCGAGGCACTCGGTGGGGCGAGGAGAAGTGCTAGACTCAAGGCAGGCTTCTCGCGGGAGTTACGGAATCTGCCGGCTCTCGGCTCCAGCCCGCGGGCTCGCGCGCCGCTTTCACCCGCGTCTCGAAGCCGGGGGGGGCCAGCAAGTGTCGCCGTCCGGTGTGGGGAGCTGAACCGCGGAGGGGAAGGGGCTGCCGGGCCGGGGCCCTGCACTGAGCGGCTGAGGCCGGGCTGCCCCCGGCTGCCTCTGGCCCCCGGCAGCCCCCCGGCTGCCCCCCGGCCCCTGGCTGCCCTCCAGCTGCCCCCCGGCTGCCCCCCAGCCCCTGGCTGCCCCCCGGCTGCCCCCCGGCTGCCCCCGGCCCCCGGCTGCCCCCCGGCAGCCCCCCGGCTGCCCGGCTGCCCCCTGGCTGCCCCCCGGCTGCCCCCGGCTGCCCCCCGGCTGCCCCCCAGCTGCCCCCCGGCTGCCCCCCAGCCCGCTCGGCCAGAGCTGGTCGTCCGCTCACCAAGTCGCTTCAGGGGGAGCCGCCGTACGTGAGCAGGGGTGGGGAGCGGAGGGGAAGGCGGCTGTTGAAGTGAGGGGTGGTTTTCAACCAGATGCTTGAACGTTGAGGATTTTTCCCCGAACTGAAAATGAAAAGCTGACCTACTTAATAGTGATTTTTTAAAAAATGGCTTCTGAATTCCCTGTTATCTTTTGTGGTGCCTCTAACTCCCCTTGTCGCTGCGCCCTCCCGGCACGGAGCAGCCACCTCCACGTCCTCTACGTTCTCCGTGCGTGCCGGTACTCAGGCACTGGTGGAAGCGACGCCCGTGGGCGCAGCTGTGGCTGCGAGCACACAGTGGGGAAGATGCTTCACTCTCTTCCCTCAAGCCTGCCTGTGCGCCTAGGAGAGAAAACGTACTTTTGGTAGGAAAGCGAGGCTGATCTCGTGTAGACTTGTGAGAGGCAGAAGGGGGGCTGTTTGCCGGGGTATGATCGTGCAGTCACCAGCTGGATTTTCGCTCGCCCCGTCCCTGTGGCAGGCTGAAGCGCTTCTTCGCGGCGAGGGTGTGCAACGGCGCGCGGTGGCTCCGGGTGCAGCTCGCGCAGGAGCCTGCGGGGGGACGTGCTCTGGGAGCAAACTCCTTACCCGGGGCCACAGCCCGGCTGCGACGCGCGGGGAGATTCCTCGAGGATCCCGGTTGCAGCCCAGATGGAAGCGAGGACGTCGGGGCCGTGGGGCGAGCGCGGTGCCGGCGGCAGGGCCGGCGCAGCCCCGGAGGAGACGTGCTGGCGGGGGGAGCGGGCGAGGGCTGGGGGCTGCCGGGCTCGTGGCGCGGGTCCCTGGGCAGCTCTCGGCTGCTCCGCAAGGGAAAAGAGAGTCCGGGGTTCCCCAGGTCCTGGCCCAGGTCAGGCTAAACCAAACCCCCTGCTCCAGCCCGGCGGGCAGCAGGCGGGATGGCGTTCCGAGCTTCAGAGGGCAGCTCCCATCTCTGAGAACTGGGAGAAATACAAGAAATAAGTTATGAAAAAGAAGCAGATTTCGGATAAAGATGGAACCCCAGAAAGTTTTAATGAAGTGCTTCTGCTCAAGCCATTCGTCCACTTCACTCTTCGGTGGCAGAGAATCTGCAAGGCTTGGGCAGGCAATTAACTAAAAATAGGCACCCGAGGGAGAATTCAGTGAGCCCAAGTACCCGGGATTAGAGAGGATAAGCAAGAAGGTAGAGCGATGGGGAGAGCATCTTTGAAGATTTCTTTGTAAAAACTGGAATTGTAGGCAGTAGAAAATGCCTCTGCGGGGCTATTCTTCCCAGATAGCAAAGGTGATGCAATGGTGGAGAAAGGAAATGGGGATTTTTCAGTGAACTGCAGGAAATCTTCCAAGCGGCTGCTATTCACCTGTCAGCAAGGAAGGAATTAAAGAACAAAGAGCTGAGCTCCCAACAAAAGTACTGAAATCCTCAATCTACCAGAGGAAAAAAAGGGATTCCCATTGAAGTGACAGCATTTTTCAACAGTGAGGCTAAAGAGCAGGCACTGTTGTGAGACAGCTGAACAGGGTCTGTCAAAATGCCGTACGTGGATATTCTGTCAAGTGAAATCCAGTGGAAGCAAATGCAAGTTAACACGTTGTTCCTTCACACGGATGGGTTTTGAGCGACCCGTAATCCCATGGGGAAAAAGATCTTCAGACTTTCACACAGCTCTGGAAATCCGAGCCTGGGCAGGGCTGGCTAGGTGAGTTAACCCTCTGCTGCCGTGGCAATGGCTCACCTTGTGTATTTTCGAACGAGCGAGCTGGAGTCATTTCTAGTGGGACTTTATGAGAAGTTGGGGTCTGACTGGTGATGGCTGGCGTGTCCATGTCCTGTCCTTCCACAGCTCTGAGCTCTATGATTTTATATCTTTGTTGTTCGCCCTGTTCCGATTGGTCTTGAATGCCCCCCAGATCAGCCACACTTTAAGATATTTCCTTACTTAACTAAACCCTCCTGACCAATTATCTGCTGTAGTTGCTCCTCTCGGGCTCGGTCCGATGCCGCCTTTCTGACACAGCTCTGCCTGGACTAAACGTGTCCTAGCAGGGTGGTTCGCCGGGCTCTGCCGCTGGCGAAGTCCTTCAGTCAGCACTTACAATGCTCTGCAGCTTCGGCGCCTGCCTCGCTCACTGCTCGCGGGACAAGAGGCTGAGATTTCGTCTGGCACAACGTTTGCTACCGGCGTCTTCCATCAGCCCTGCCAGGCTCAGCCTCCCTTGGCGTCTCACATCCCAGCGCCTCTCCGCTGCCCTGCCTCGCTGTGAAGTCCGGCCTTGCCTCCTGTCTCCTGTATTTATTGAGCCGCTGGGAAAACACTGCTTTAAAAAACCCCCTCTCTTCCACCAAAAGCATTTTGTGCCTCCCGAGATGCCCCGGTTTGGTGTTTGCCCTGGCTGACTCGCCGCGGCGTCCCCGTACCCTGAGCCCTGCCCTCGCTGCCCCCGGCGATCGGCCGATGAACGCCCCTGTGCTCACACACACCGATGGCCCGAGCCGCTGTTTCACATTCCCCACCCTCCCCTGCAGGCTCCTATTTCCTGCATTAATAATGAATTTGGGAGAGAAAGTAGCACGTTGACTTAAATATCCCTAAACCTCGATTTAACAAAAAAAAAAAAACCAAAACCCAAACCCCACATCAAAACCAAATCCTTTGTGGGATGACACTCCTTGGGTTTTTTTCTTTATCAATCCCCTAGCTAGCCTCACGGCTGCCGTTCCCCACCCCTCAGGGTCCTGCCCCCCCCTGCCCAGGAGGTTTTCCAGGCTCTGCCGCAGCACCCCCCGCCCCGTGCGGCGAGCTAGCGGGGGGCTTCACCCACAGCCGCGCGAGCAGGAGCTCGTCTCAGCCGACCCCCACCGATTTTCAGACCGGCCTGCTACGTCCTTCCTACTGAACTCAGACTCCCGAGTGGCGTGGCTCAGATGCTCAAATGTTTTCCTTAGGACCAGGGAAAAGTGGTTCGCCAACCGGCCGCAGGAAATAACTGCTCTCGTGAATTGCGTACCCAGCATTTCAAATGGAATCAGCCCCACTAGGTTCAGACTGGCTGACAACCATCCTTGCAGATCAGAAACTCTGCTGTGGAACGGGAACTTGGAGCCCACTTTCCAGGGCAGGCACCCGGCACTGGCTCCAGCGTGCCGCCTCCGAACACGCTCCCTGTGCTGGCTTGGGCTCTCCCTTCACCGACAAACGTTACTGCGATTCTGCTTGTTAGAACAGCTGCGGGAAGCAAATCACACGTGCAAATAATAGCAAAATTCCATTTATTCTTTGACAGACTAGTGGTAGGAAAAAGATGCCTGGCTCTAAGTTTAGCTACCACTGCTAAAGGAATTCCAGTGATGGCATCTGTTCAGAGTACAATGCAGGCAAAAAGCAAGAAAGCTGAATGTTCTGAAACGGAGGAAGGTGTGTGATGGCATTGCATAAATCTGATAATCCTCACTTGCAGTAAGTGGTCAGTTCTGACCATTTATTTCTCAAAAAAAAAAAAAAAAAAAAAATCCTCTCAACTGAAGACAGGGATAAGGCTTGCATAAAATTGGTAACAGTGTGAAACTTTAATTCGCAAAAAGAAAAGCAATAGAAGACAGGCCTGAGGTATTCAGTGACGGTAAACAGAAGACTAGCTGAAATGCCCTATTTACCTTTGCTATGTTAGAGAACAAGAAGGCACTCGTCGAACTTCGAAAGGCAACATTTTACAGTGGAAAAAAGGAAGTACTGCATTTAACTCGGGGAGATCATTGCCACAGGATATTGCTGAGGTAAATAAATCTTATATTACATTTTGATACAAAAGTATTATTTGCAGCATCGCTGGCTAACCTAAAACAACTGATCTATGTTTTGGAGAATCAGTGGATCACTAAACAGTCATTCTGGGAAAAATTACTAAGCTAAATTAAAAATAAAATTCTTGAGTAAAACGGAAGAGGGACAAGCCTATGAACAAATGAGGCGCGGCTAATGTCACGCTGGGGGGGTCAATGGCTCAGCAGAAAGTAAAATGCATGGACTGAACTGGGCGCACTCTGGGGAGAGGCGGGAGGACAGCACCTGGCTTCACTGAAGGAGCTGAGATAAGCGAGTAGAGGTAGATTTTGCATTTTCTAGACTTATGGAGAATGGTATCGACGGGCTTCCTGGCTTACAGTGGCCTACAGCGGTTCCTCCGTGCCGAGGTGCGAAGATCCGCGGGGCTCCCCTGAACGCACACCACCGCAGAGCGGGCCGGAGCTCCACGCGCCAGCACCCGCAGCGCGAGCGCGCGGGGGAACCGGAGCCGAGGCGGCCCCGACGCTCGGGGGGAGCGGGAGCCGGCCGCCCTCGGCGGGGGGGCACTCCAGGGAAGAAATCCAGAGGTGGGGCGGGGAGCAAGGGAAGCAGGACGCAAACTGCAGGAGGCCAGGCTCCGGAAGGAGAGAACGGGAAGGCCAGAGGAACCAAATCCTAAGTGAAAGGGTGACTGCAGACCCAAAACCTCAGCGTTTGTTGGAACTCTTAGTGTTGGGGAAAACACTTCAGATACACCGACAGAGCATACGTGAAGCTGGGACCAATTTTTCCTCCCGATTCCTGGATGTTCTCACCCTCGGGCTGAGGTGAAAATGCCTCTCTTGAGATTGCTTCACGGATAAGCCAAAAGGGTACTGACCTCACTGAGCTGTTGTGGTGAAAACCCCTAGAACCTCGTACTCTGTTCCTCGTCTCCAAGGAATCTCTGGAGCGGGGCCCGTTCCCATCCGCGCCTGCTGCGGCAGCGCTCAGAGCTCCCAGCCCGGCCGCCTCACGCGCTTTGGTTTCCAGAACAGACGCAGGATCTGTTTGCCCGGGGCAGATAATTCAAAGAGCTCTATCCATGCACCACAAAACAAGCTAAGCTGCGCGAGCTGCTCCATCCGTCCCCTTGACCTGTGGAAAGCCAGAGAGAAAACGTGGGAAGCTGCTGCCTACAGTGGCAGAGGCTGAAGTGGTCCAACAAGCAGTGTATTTCCCCATGGGGGAAGAACATGATAAGTGAAGAGAAATCAGTGCAACCTGACTTCATTGTGTAAACAGTGTTCTAGCTACACCAGACATAAACCCAGTGTATTCTGGTGCCTCCTAATTTTTTGTAATGGCGGAAACAGATTTGCGTTGTGTAAACAATGTTCACTGTAATGAGTTTAACCTAACGGTTCCGCAAAGAAGAATGAGGTGACATCTCTGAATTCACTATGTAAACGGTCTTGTTGCTTAACACTGATGTGGAGTAAGCTGTGTTCGGTGGAGTAAGCTGTATTAGGTGAGGGGAGAGGTAGTGGGGAAGGACAGCCTCTTCCCTGTTGGCTTCATACAGAGCGGGTATCCTGACTTCTCCTCCTTCTCCGTGTGGAGGTGTTGGCTGTTCTGCCAGAATTGCAGTGTGATCACATGAAATGGAAGCTGGACTCTTCAAAAGTTTAGCCCAAGATGAAAGAGTCTCAACTCCTTCTCAGGGACAGTCCCTTCCCAAAGAGGAACATAGCTCCGGGATCTCAGGGAAGGTCAGTGCTAAGCGCGGCTCCTGATTCACAGATTAAAAATTAGATAAAATATATCCAGTCTATTAGCTGACATCTTTTCGCTGTACAGGACTGGGACTTGCATGGGGATAGCTGCTGTTCCAGTCTACAAGTGCTCCCTCCAGAGATCAGAAACCTCCTGTCTGAAACGACTTTGCAAAGCTTTCACACCCCAAAGGGAAGTAAGAGTTGTGCGTTTTTAAGGCTCTCCACAAAAGGGTGACTGAAAGATCTGTTCTCCAGTGCTATTTTCAGCTTATTGGAATGCCTGGTGGAAACGTGGCAGCGTGGTTGTGCTCAAGCTGGAGGTGAAGACAGGGGGCAATGAATGAAGGGGCCCAAAGTTCAGCGAGGCCCCAGCTCCAGGAGATTCTTGAGGTTGATGTTGCAAAGTGGTAAGCAGTGGCTGTGTCTCCCCCTGTGAGTAGCCCATGACCAATCCCCCCGATGATACGGGCGGATTGCAAGGAGGAAGATTTAGGGGGAGGAAGCCAAGAAGGTGAGAAAAGTCCATGTTAGCAGCACAGAGAGCCTCTGAAAGGTTAGCAGGGCTCTTGGAAAGCAAAGGCTCATCCAGGGGGGGTGGCTGAGGCGAAGAGGACTGAGGCTCACCAGACGAGAGAGACAGGCTGCCAGGGAAGTCTGACAAAAAGCTGTCCACCTCTACTTTGGGTAGTTTCTCAGGCAAATATGAGGTAGATCCAAGCTGATACTTTGGAGGAGGTTGCGGTGGGGAGGAGATGGGAGAAGAAGACTCCAGAGGATAGCTCATCCCCATTGGAAGAGAATTAGGAACCAAAGAATGGGGCATCCCTGAGCTTGGCATGGTTTGGAGATGCGTGCTGTACATGCCCACAGGCAACATGCCAGGGAAGCTCTTACCACCTATCATGTCTCTGGATGCCATACACAGGACGGGACTCAGCTCTTCTTTCACTGCGACAGACGAGCTGCAGCTTAGGAGACCCAGCATGTCGACTGGCTCCGTCTTAATCTTCAGCAGTTCCTGGGAGTGGCTTTTCTTCATGTGCCTGGTCAGATGATCTTTCCGCCCAAACCTCTGAGCACAGTACTGGCACAAGAAGTCCTTCCGCCCCGTGTGCACCACCAAGTGCCTCCGCACGTCTTTCCGGGTGTAGAAGCGCCTGTCACAGTGGTCACACGGATGCTTCTTCTCCTTCGCTCCGCCAGAAGCCCGCCTGGAATGGGCTTTGAGGTGCTCCAGCAGGACCTGGGTACTTTCAAACGTCTGGAGGCACACCTTGCAGCTGAGATCGCCGCTGGCAGCCGCGTGCATGGCCAGGTGTCGCCTGAAGCCGAGTTTCGTGTTGTAGTTCTTGCCGCACTCGGGGCAGTGGAGGGCCTCCTTGTTGGGATCGTGGGTCTGGAGGTGGTTGCGAAGGTGATCTTTCCGGTGAAACATCTTCTCGCAGTACATGCACTGATGAGGCTTCTGAGCAGAGTGCGTGGCCATATGCCTTTTGGGAGAAAAGCGGGAAAGTTTAGACCAGGCTACAACTCCTAAGAGAACACACGCTACTTTCTCAAAATTTGCCTTGGGTTCTACACTTCCTGCCACAGAAATCCCAGATGGCATTTTACCGCCACTGCAGGACGCGGCCCTGACAGCCCGGGCAGCAGGGCCTCTCCAGGCACAGCACGACACTTCAAGCAACAGCTACGGAGTCTGTCTCAGCAGTGCCCGTCCTGCCTAGAATGCACCACCTCTGCACAGGGGCGCTTTAGTCGTCTACTCAGCTCCTGTCCTCTCTGCTGAGGCTATCAAAGGGGGAAATGGCAAAGGAACCCTTGGTAATTCAGGACAAGCAACGCTCATCTGCTGGGGAGACGGCTTCGTTTCATCAGGAGGCACCAGAGTGTGGCAATGTCTGTTGACAGCCACTGTGGACTCATTTCACCTTGGTCTCTTACACTCTCTGACACTGTGGTTCATCTAGTTTCAAGTTCCCAGTGATCATACAGCTTAATTATTCTATGCTGTGTTTCAGTACGTAACCGGGAACTCTACTTCTTCATGCTAGAAGAATAGCTGCCATGGAAATATTCCTGTGATTAAAGTTAGAGGTAGACCTTATGAAATGTGAATGCTATTCTTGCTTTTCATTTTGTTTTTTAATCTCTGAACTTCACTTTCTGCTTCAATTTCCTCCTTAGTAAAACAGAAAACAGCTTGAGCTCAGGATAAAGCATTATCCGAGGTTGTCTGGAAGGTGCTTAAAGAGATGCCAAGTGTGGTAACGTCTGGGACTCAACTGCTTTGCAAGGTAACAAGGGCATTCCCCCTCCTCCACCTTCTCAGAAATTCAAGCAAAAAAAGAACACGGTGGAGGGGTTTTCCCCTCTCTTCTGGCAGGGGAGCACTGTTCAGCAGAGGCACTCAGCAGTTACCTACCTATACAGCTTGTACTTAGAAGCAAAGGCTTTGCCACAGTGCAGCTGAGGGCAGTTGTACGGTTTCTGCTCAGTATGAGAAAGAGCGTGAGTTCTCAGCTTGTCCACATTAGTGAAGGAAGTCTCTGATATTTCACATTGGCATTTTCCCTGACTTTCGGTCTCTTCACCTCTTGGTCTGGGGACTAATTTCCAGCCTGTCTCTTCCTCCTCCTGCTTTGCATCTTGAATCCAGTTGGGAACACTGGGAAAAAATGCCGTCATGGCAGGTCTAGTAGAACATGGCCATGTCAAGCAGAACTCGAGCCTGCAGGCGCCTTGCCGTGCTGTTGTCCCGGTGCAGTTTTCTGTTGGAGCCCTCTGTGACCAAACTGCTTTAGTAGCAAAACGTCTTCATCTGAAATCACAGAAGGGTTGGCGTTAAGACACTGCGTCTTCCACCCGTGCGCACAAACACGCGTGAGCATCCACCAAGCATTACAAACATGTGAAGAAGCATGTTCACAGGCATGGGAAACTCCCACCTCCAGCTTGCATTTTGTTCTTTTCTCCCTTAGCCCCTGTTACATTAATAAAATGATGTTAAACTTTTTCTGAATTACATTTTTGCAACTATTAAGAGCGAGCGTTACCCGTTACATGCATTTTCTCCTGAAATATTGTAGGTAGGTGTCTCTTTGCAGCTCTAAATACCTCACCTTTCCCCGTGCGTTTTGTGGATCACTTCTCATCCCCTTTTTTGATGTTCTTCACAGCCTATTCTCACTTGCTCTTGATCTTTGCTCACATGGAATTCCCTTCGAGAGCTTCTCAGAGGAACTACGGTTCTCTTGTATTTTTTTTTTTTTTTCATCCACTGCTACCAACCTGGTGCGCTAGCAGGACCAACTCCTAGCAAACCGATTTGAATTACCACACATGGGTCAACAGGGCTGGGGAAGAAAACCTGCTATTATCAGCAACATTATACCTTTTTCAGGAAGGCAACAGATGCTGCGTCTCTTCAGGGTGTGATTAGTCATTGTATTTTCACTTTTCTACTGTAGGGCAGATTCTGCCTCTCTGGATTAGCAAGTTTTCCACAGTAATAAGCAATTTTTTTTTTTTTTTCTCACCCATTGGTAATGGAAGCTCAAACTGTTTCCTGTTCAACAAAATATACCTCCTGTATGCTCTGCTAGCTTTCATATTGATGAAAATCTGCATTAATCTCTCTTAGCAGGTTGTTCACGAGTTGTGTTTGTCCCGGTGGCAAAGCACTGCATTTTCATATGGTTCTACCAACACCTAAACTGGTAAACGGTTAGCTGAAATGTAAACCCCAGAAAAGCTCTCTTTCACTGAATTTAGCTGCCTGAGAAACTCTTCTTAAAATAGCACCAAACCCTCAAGCTCTTTCTTACTCCATGATTGCCTCAGAGGGAGGAACTTCCTGCCTGCACATCAATACCAGTGCCAGTTGTGGGCAGGATGTGCAACTACGAGGGAACTAACCAACCCCCATTAAGAAAGTGCACCACTGAACGTTATGAATAGCTGAAATAACAATAACTGTAACTACACCATCACCCACAATGCCATGAATGGATCTCTCAGGATGGAAAACACTGGGAATAGGACGACTCCAAGAAAATGTGTCACTAGGAGGTTTGGGAATGCCCACTAAGGACAGATTTCAGTTTTGTGCAGGCTAAATCTAGTTGGCCAGAGCAGAACAATAAGGGACTAGAACTGCTGAGGTGCCACTTTGGCACAACCCAGTGCGAGGTGACGGCTGCTCCCAGCCCTCGGGGTGCAGGAGCCCTGGGGCTCAGAGCAGAGCTCCTCTGCAGATGTCTGGGACCGTGATTATTTCACCTCTGCAGGAGATGTGTGCCGGAAAAGAGAAACGTTCTCTACCTCCTGCTTCAGAGCTGTGCAGGCGTTCTGGGAGCCTCTGCCACTTTCACCAGGTAGTTGCTTCTTTCCCTCTGAACAAGCTCAGCCATCTGTACCAGTTTCAAAGCTACCTGAAAGAAAACAAGAGTTTGGATTTTGCTGTCTGAAATAGTAAGGCACATAAACTATCACCTTAGAGCAGAAACCCAAATACAAAGGAGTTAAGATACGGTAATCTCTGAAACTGATTATTGTAAAATTTCATCAACTTTCTTTTAAAATTGGAAGGGTCTAGCAAGAAAAAAGGACTCTACCTATTTGGGTCTGTTCCTAAATCTAAATGCATGTCCTAGGACGCTGATAGCTCTGGAGTAAGAAAGAGAAACCAAGATGAGGGTCCTGCATAGTATCAGTGAAATACAGTAGCCGTGGAAGTTTAACAACATAATTGATGCTTGGCTAGCAAACTGTTTGTGTGACCCAGTTGTTTACATTTCTTTAAAAAACTCAATTAGTTTTCTTAGTAACAGTTCCAGTGTGCTCCCTGTTCACTCTAAGTCTGTAGCCACCAGAGAGAAAGTCACCGCTGTGTGGAAACATTCCACCTACACTTGTACAGAGAACATCTTGTACACCAGTGTTTGTACCAGCACTGGGAAATTTGGTTATCTTAGAAAGTTTTGTATTAGTCCTGGAAAAATATGTCTAGCCTATGCAGCTCCAGAAATCTCAGGGAAGTTGGTTACAGAAAACTCCCCTCAACAGACAAATATTCCTTTGCTTCAGTTCTGCACAGGTTAAGAGACTGGTTAAGAGCTGGAAAAAAATACAATCCACCTGAGAGCTGGATTCCCACTGGCTGCCAACCGAGAGGAAATATTTGATTACTGCAGTCATCAGGTTTGTGCAAATTCAAGCTAGAAGAGCTCATACGCTAGATATAAGATTCCAGCCACTTGTCATTGCGCAGAAAACAATGAGGTTGGTACATGGTACAAAAAAGCTCTCGGGCTTCACAGAAAGTCCCTGGGGTAGAGTCTGCTACCTGCTTTGACAGTTTGTCCCATTATTTAATCCTTCTCAAAATACGGTCCGAAGTACCAATCCAGCATTTCTGCACAGTTTCTGCCCCTCGAAGTCACCCCTGTGACACAGAGCACCATTCCTCGGCTGTGACCTAGGCTGGGAACCAGATCAGGGAACTGCCCAGGTTAAATCTAATCAGGAAAAAAAACAAAAAGGAGCCTGGCCGAGTTCTCTGACCAGATCACCAGCAAAGCTGTGCTGCTCGGGCCTGAGCGGGCGTGCAGCAGGCGCGGGAGGCCGGGACACGGGGCCTGGCAGGCTGCCTGACCAGCCCCTGGATTGTGGAGCTGCAGTTTTTCTTTTCTAAAGGGCATCTCTTGTTCCTGGTTTGTATTTGGCCGTCCTTGGCTTCTACCTGCTGAGTCCCACTGTGAGGAGCTGCTCCTGCACTGCCACTTTTCTTTCTGCAGGGACAGAGAAGTTGGCCCAGGGACTCCTGCGTCCCCACAGGCCGCACCGCTCTGCACTGCACTGGCCTGGCTGTTCTACAGCTGCACAGCGGCGTGGCTGGAGGGACTTACTTAGCCAAAAAGTGATTTCTTCTTAATTTTTTCCCCCCCCCAGACAGATCAGTCCCCCCGCCTCAGGTTTGCTAAGCTATTTTAAGCTGTTACACTTAAACTTGCTCCAGCAGAAGGTGCCAGCTAGGTGGTGGAAAGCAGAGGCCAGAATCCACAGTGGGCGTCGCGCTCCGACCCCCGCTCCTGCCACCATCCCAGCTCAGCCTCAGGCCTGGCACCGGCCCGGCGGGGACACGGCAGCACTCCTGCACTTACTGACTTTCCTACACGACAACCAGCACCCAGAAAACCTCAAACTGCCGCAGCAACGTCCCTCGGAGCAGGTCTGTCAAAGTCCCTCCCTCCCCCAGCATGACAAAATCACACCCTACGTGCCTTTACGGTGTTCTCATCGAGTCCAGCTCTGACCCCTGACTGCAAGACTCTGCTTCTGGACCTCAGATCACTTTGTGACTTTTTGACATCCTCTGCCATTATTCCATATAGGTTTTTTTAAATGTAAGGGAGGAAAAGCGGTACCAGGCCTAGATGCACAGTACCAGCCTTGCCAATGCCACACCTAGATGTAAAAATCATCTCCTGCCTCCCTACACATCTCACATTCACCCTTTTTTTACAGTTTTCCTACAGTCACAAACACCAACTCACACGTCATCATGATTCCCTGCTTCCCCCTATGAAAACCATTATTTTCCTGCAGTGACACTGGCTGTTTCCAGATACGGAGGTTTTTACATCCAAACAGGCTCATTTTTCCAGTTGAGCTGCTCAAGCCTCAGTATCAGTTTCGCCCAGCTGATCACTCACAGGTTTTGGAAAAGCTCTGTGTAAAGTTTGCGTTTGCTTTTAAAGCCCGGGAAGAAGCTGCCGCACCTTCCCCATAGGATGGAACCGGACACGCCACCCCCGCAGGAGGATTTTCCCACCTGACCGAGCTCCTCTTTCACCCTCCGCTCCCCTGACATGACAAGCTGGAGCCGAAAAGCCCGAACCCCTTCCCCGCACTACCAGGAAAGCCCCAAACGCCAACGCGGCTGCGGGGGGTGATTTATTTCTGCTACAAAAACCCGCTTTTTACATTCACTGAACCCCAAAGAGGCTGCAAAGCCCCCAGGACACAGTGCGGCCGTGCTGGCGGCACCCAGCGGGGGGGGGGGCAGGGCCCAATCCGGGGTACCGGGGTAACTCGGGGCCCTCCCCGGCAGCCCCGCCGGGTGCCCCGGGAGGGAAACGGCGCCAGGACCTGGCCCGGTGGTGGCGGCCGGTGCCACACGTGCCGCCCCCGCCCGTTACCATGGCGCAGCCCTGAGGGGCGGGAGGCGGGCCCGGCCTACGCCCCCCCCCTCCCCTGAGGCGACCCCGCCGCCGAGGGGAGGGGGCCGCCGTGACACCGCCCCTCACCCCCCCCCCTCCCCCGGTGCCGCCCCTCTCCCCCCCCCCCCCCGCACTCACCCCGTTCCCCCGGGCCCCGCCGGGCGCGGCTCCGGCCCAGGCCGCGGCGGCCCCATTGTGCGGGGCATTGTGGGAGTGACGTCGCTCTCCCGCTTCCGCCTCGATGGTGTCCGCTTCCCGCTAGAGCGGCCGTTCCGGCGGGCCCCGGGGCATGCCGGGACGGGGCCGCCTCCCGTTGACCTCCGCCGAGCCGCCATGGCGGCGTCGCCGGTCCCGGTTCTCCTCCTCTTCCTCCTCTTCTCGTTGCGGGGAGGCGGCGCGGCCCCCGCCTGGGACGCGGCCGGTTACCTGCTCTACTGTCCCTGCATGGGTGAGGCGTCCCCGCCGCGGCGCGGAGCCCCCGCCGCGGAGCACCCCCCCCCCCGGTGGAGGCCCCGGCTGAGGCCCCGCTCTCGCCCCTCTCGCAGGCCGATTCGGGAACCAGGCCGAGCACTTCCTGGGAGCCCTGGCCTTCGCCCGCGCCCTCAACCGGACCCTGGCCGTGCCGCCGTGGATCGAGTACCGTCACCACCGCCCGCCCTACACCAACGTGAGCCCGGGGAGGGGGCGCGGGCGGCGGGCGGGGCGGGGGGGGCTCTCCCCCGGGGGTGAGGTGCGGGCCCCGGGGCCGCGAGTCAGGCGGTCGCTGTCGTCCCCAGCTGCACGTTCCCTACGCGGAGCACTTCAAGCTGGAGCCGCTCCTGCGCTACCACCGGGTGATCGCCCTAGAGGACTTCATGGAGACGCTGGCGCCCGTTCACTGGCCGCCGGGCGAGCGAGTGGCTTACTGCTTCGAGGCGGCGGCTCAGAGAAGTGCTGACAAAAGCACTTGCCCCATGAAGGTGAGTTCCTGCTCCGTCCCCGTGGGGCGCAGTTTAACTCGGCTGCTGTTCCAGAGGGAATTACAGACTCATTGAGGTCACCACCGAGCGGCAAACTCAGGAGTGACCCACCCCACAGCAGCCTGCGTGGCGTTCCTTTACCCCGTCGGTGGGGCTGGCTGTGCCTTCACACTTTCCTTTGTCAGCAGATGCTTGGGGTTCAGGAGGATGGCGCATGTAAGCAGGTTTTGTCCCTTCAGACTTGATCACAACAGTAAGGAGAGCAGATCTGTTACCAAGCGTAGTGGTCTCAGCCTGGTTTGCAGCTGTGGTACTGTTGTGCCCTTGGTTTTAAAGCAACCTCTTAAATACAAGTTTGAGAGCCGTGCTGTTCTTGTTCTTTTAATACAGCCTTTACCTAAGCTCTCAGGTGACTTTCTTAGATGTGCTTCCCTCTTTCTCTGTGCTTCACTCTGATGTGGAGCTAAATGTGACAAACAGGCTCTTGTACTCCATCTGCATTTCTCCTGTAACAGAAAACCTCTCCAGCTTTGTGCCCCAGGATCTTGCTAGGCGTGCCTTTCAGGCTCTGCGTGTTCACTGAATGAACATATCGCTTTGCTTTGCAGGATGGAAATCCGTTTGGTCCCTTCTGGGATCAGTTCCAAGTGAATTTTGATAAGTCTGAGCTCTTCAAGGGAATCTCCTTCAGTTCTGCTTACAAGGACCATTGGATCCAAAGGTAGCAAGAAGATGGGAAAGTGCTGGCGTGCCACTATAGAATAACAAAACCAGCTGTGCTAGTCACTGTGTAAAGCCTTTGTCTTTTGGGGGAGAGACTGAAGTGGCTAGTTAGCAATGTAATTAAAAATCTTAACGCCTTTTCCATTTAATATTTGTTGAGTGTGCTTTTCCTGTGGGCAGTATTAGGTGTGAACTCTTAGGCTGATTGACTTCTGAGCCAGGAACGTTTAGTTATTTGATTACATATGTAATTATTCTGCAAAAATAGTTTGATTTGCAGTTGCTGATCATGAACTGTATTTAGCTGGCTACCTCGCATCTTCGGAGCCACTTTAGTCATATCAGTAAGTTTGAGTGACAAAATTGCTCTAGTCTGGGGTGAAGATGTAAGCTCTCATTGCTAGGTAGCTCATCGTTCTGCATATGAAATTCTTATCTTTCATCTGTCAGATAATACTGATTCATCTGTTACCAGGTCTAGAGGTGAAACGTGCTACCTGAGTTTTGCTTCAGTCTTCTGTTCACATGGCAAAACACTTAGGATTCATCCTGGGTGAACTTGGAGCAATAGGTGCTGTGTATTGTTGGGTGTTCATAGTTTCCATTCCAGCCTTCACAACATGCATGCACAGTAGCCTTTGCAAGACGATGTCATGTTTCAGTCTGTTGGGTTTTTTTTCTGTAGATTTCCACCCTCTGAGCACCCTGTACTCGCCCTACCTGGAGCTCCGGCCCAGTTTCCAGTCTTAGAGGAGCACCGACCCCTCCATAAATACATCGTGTGGTCTGATGAAATGGTGAAGAAAGGAGAAGCCTATATTCATTCGCTGCTGGTCAGGCCCTATGTAGGAATTCATCTGAGGATCGGCTCAGACTGGGTATGGTTCCTGTGTGAGGCTGGCTGCTCTAGCCCGTGCAGTCGCCCCAGGCTGGTGGCTAACGCTCTGTGGAAGAAGTTGCCCAAAGAGGAGTCAGCCTGGGGTGACAGCCCGAACCTGCTGGCGTTCAGCAGCTCACTGTGTGTTAGCAATGCCGTCGGGATTCCTCTTTCAAATGGGCTGTAATGCTGCTGGTGGAGGTGGGGGCCGTGGTAGTGTTTTCTCCCACTGTTGCCATTCAAACGTGGTATTTTCTCTTTTTTTTTTCCTTCCAATAGAAAAATGCTTGCAATATGTTAAAGGATGGGACGGCCGGGCCACACTTCATGGCTTCACCTCAGTGTGTGGGCTACGACCGAAGCGCTGCGGTCCCTCTTACCATGGACATGTGCCTGCCAGACCTCAAAGAGATCAAGCGTGCTCTCCAGCTCTGGGTGAAAAACACAGAAGCTAAATCTGTTTATATCGCTACTGATTCTGAGCCCTACACGACGGAAATACAGCAGTTCTTCCAAGGAAAGGTGAGTCTTTCAGAAACTCATTCTGACAGGAATGTTTTAATAAAAACCTTCCTTGGATTCTGGCCCGTTGATGCCATGGACAGCAGGCAGGCCGTTGTGTGATATGTTGTTCACAGACAAATATTGGCATCTCAAAGTAAATTTTGCTCATGCCAATAAAAATTACACTGTAAAACTCTTTCTAGACGTTGAAGAGCATTATCCTTCATGGTAGTAAATTCCTCCTTGAAAAATACTTCGATTAAATAAACCTAAAATGATTTTCAAGCTGTTTTGGCATTTATCTATTCATAAATGAGTTTTAAGGTGACTTAAGACAGAATCCACTCCCTTTTTTTTGTATATTCCCATTTCTGATATTATGCCAAGGCATTTGGATTAGAATAACGGATTACTGGGTTTGCTTGTGTTCCTTGTTTCCCTGCAGATCAAGGTTGTCAGCCTGCAGCCAGAAGTGCCTCAGATCGATTTGTACATTCTTGGCCAGTCTGATCATTTTATTGGGAACTGCGTCTCTTCGTTCACTGCCTTTGTGAAAAGGGAGCGCGACGTGCGTGGAAAACCTTCTTCCTTCTTTGGCATGGACCACCCGCCGAGATTACGGGATGAATTCTGACCCAAAGAGGAACAGGCTCCGAAGTTCTCAGGGCTCTGAGCTTGGTCCCCGCCGAGGGACCGCTCGGTGCTGACGGCTCTCCCCGCCTGCAGAGTGCGCTGCCAGGCTGGCGCAGCCCTGCCTCAGCCCTCTGATACTCCTCAGAGCCGCTTCCAGACCGGTCTGTCTGACTTCTCTGGTATTTCCAGTGTGAGGCCAGACAGAAAAGAAACTTTAAATCGTGTAGTTTATAGGAAACTATAAACTGTATGTAGTTTTTAAGCTGTAGTTTATATAGTTCTCCATTCTCACTATTTGGGGTTCACCAGCAATCATGAAGAAGCTGCTCAGATTTCTTCTTCTAATTTTTTTTTTTTTTTTTTTTTTTCCTCGTTTCAATTTAAACTTTACCTGGAGATGTTGTGAAGCTTCTTGTCCAAAACTGACACTAAGTTCTTTTTAGGTGCCAAGTATCATCAGGAATATCACAGTCCCTGGAAAGGGAGTGCAAGATAAAGCTCAGGATTGGAAATCAGCTCTGGGTTTTATCGAGAGCCGCTGTTGCCTTCCTTAGAGCCATGTCACCTCAGTGCCTGGGTTTCCATTGCCCTGCCAAAAGAGATCTCCTGCGCAGCGGTGCCGTGGGGCACCCGGGTCTCTCCAGGGGTGCTAGAGAATTGCGACGGGGCCGTGTCTGAATGTGGCATCTGCCGCTTCAGCCCATCCTTAGACTGGAGAGAAGGCGCGTGCGGGGACCCCGGCGGGAGTTGGAGGTTTAGGGCTTGTAGCTGTTGAGGTCAGGTGGCGATCCGTGGTAGAAATGAAACTGGTTTTGAGGTGAGACTTTTAAAGTAGCTGTAGTACGGGTTGGTTTATGTCGTACCTAGGTCTGTGGTAATGGTTTCTGTTTTCTTGTTTGTTTTTGTACTTTGCAAAATAACCCCTCTGACAGCAGAACCTTTGTCTGGGGAGGAAGTTGCCAGTGGAGGTAACTTCGGGAAGTGTTCACTGATGGTGAAACAGCCCCAAACCCCTTCCTTTGGCCCAGTACATCTTAGTTCTGGGAACACCGATAATCCCGATGTGGTGAGACTCGCCTTGACCACTGCCTTTTGGTAGGTACTCCCGTGACTAATTTTATTTTTTGGTCCAAAGCCTGAGTACAGAACTTTAATGTTGTTTTAAAAATGCCACTGAGGTGATTGTGTGGTACCAGGGCTGGCTGCCTCTAGCGCACTACTGCGGCCTGAACAGCGCTGTCGTGGCATTGACGGGGGTTTAACTCAATGTCTTGATTTTTGGTGGTGGGTTTTTTCTTTCTTGGAAACATTCCTGAGCTTTGAAGGAGTTTGAAGGCTCAAGGGAGTGAGCAGAAAGTACTCTGAGTGTCGGGGTGGCAGAGCCTTTTCTCTTTGTTTCCTCAGGGCTGGATCCTTCCAGCGCTTATGGGATTTGGTGGTTTTGGGGCCCCCGCCTGCTCCCCGGCGTCACACCTGGCTTGGGGATCCCGGCTGATGCCATCAGGGCTGCCTTGCCTCCTTCTTAGGAAGACATTGTATTAAAATATTTTTTTTCTTAAGAGAAAAAAAAAAAAAAAAAAAAGGTATTTTTTGTAATAATAAACTCCTGATTTTGTATTCACTCATGAGGCGCTTTGTTCCTTCCTCCCTCGGGGGTGCCCGGTGCAGCGGGTGCCTTTCCCTGCCCGGGTGCAGCAGCTCCGCGGCCCCTTCCCTGGCTCGGCTTGGGGCAAAAAACGGCCCTTTTGGGTCTTTGTGGAGGGCGAGGCTGCCGGGGGGGAGGGGCGGGGCGGTGGCCCCTTTGTCCCGGCTCCATCCGGGGCCGGTCGCTACGGAAATGGCGGCGTGGGGGCGGGCGCGCGCGTTGCCAAGGAAGTGCGTCAGGGGTGGGGGGGGCGGGGCCACCCCGCCGCTTCCGGGGCCGAGGGAGCTCCATGGTGACCCGCGGGTGCGTGGGCCCCGCCGCCCCTTCGCACGCGTGGGCACGGCCTCGCCGGCCGGGCTGGGGGTGGGTATCCCCCCCGCCAGCCCTTTCCTGCCGCGCGGGGGAACCCGTAACCCAGAGACGAACGCGGGGGTCGCGCACCCGCCGGCTTCCCGCGGGAAGGGGACACGCGTGGGGCGCCGCGCTGCTGCAGAGGGAGGTGGCCGCCGGCGGTAAGTGACCTCGGGGCGCGGCGTGCCCCGGCGGCAGGGGACACGCTGGGGCAGAGGCGAGAGGAGAACGGTGATGGAGGGGGCGGTTGGCTTCGGGAGGAGCAAAGGACACGAGCAGCTAAGCCAAGGCACTGCGAACCCGCAAATATGTGAAAGGTTTACGCTGCAGGAGAGCGATGGAATGTGTTAGGCGGTAGCTGGGGACGTGCGGAGAGATGCAAGGAAAGGGGTTCAGGCGGCACCAAGAAAATCTCCCTGAGGTCTTCAAAGCCAAGGCAGGAGGCGGCGAGGCCTGGGGACCGCGGGCAGTGGGGGCGAGCGTAGCGTTCCCCGGGCTGCCCCGGCGCCGGCACGCTTCTGGGGAGAAGTGGCAACCCCCGCGGACATTCAGGTTGTGGCGTTGCTTATTTTTTTTTCAGGCACAACTTGGCGTCGACCGAAATAAAACCGCGCGGCTCCCTGCCCGCCCTCCCCTCTTGGTTCCTCTGCAGCGCGTTTGCAAACACGTTCCTCTCAACCTTGGCCTTGACTCTCAGGGACCCGACCCAGGTGGCTTTAGGCTCAGCTGATTTCATGGTCGAGGCGTGCTCCCCGTGCCAGGAGAGCGGGTGGCATGGTGGCCTTCCCCGCTCTTCTGGCCATCCCTGCCCAGCTGCTCCCGAAACGGTGCTGGGGAGTTTCTGGGGAAGGCAAACACTGCTAACTTAATTGGGTTTATTTCTCAGTTACACGCCAGGGTAAGTCTGAGAAGAAATATTATTTTTTTATGCTTCCAGTAAACTTCACAGCAGCAGCTAAAGTAATTGGAGATGATTCATGATAGGTTGTTATGAAAATAGCCCAAATCAGGGGTAAAATAAGTTATTCGTGACTATAAAAAGAGACTTGCAAGTGAAATGGGGAAAGGTGTGAAAAGATTATCAAGCTCACATTGATGACATATACCCAGAGGAACAGCAAATATACAACATAATTTATGTTCAGTGTGTACTTCTGCAACGCTGTCACGGAGGGGACATGCTGGATATTTCAATTCTAACTTCCCGGTGAGCATACAGATGGCAATGTCTACTCTTGTAACGAAAACCCGGTCTATGTAAAGATTAGCTTAATTCTGATCATTATTAGTCACAGTTGCTTACAAAAGCGGCGCTTTGGATATTAATGATATAAAATAAACCAAGGCTCTGCTTTTCAGAATTCATGCCTAATTTATTTGCCATTGTGAACATTCGCCGCAATAGTGCAGATAAATGAAGTGGCAGTTGTTATGTGAGCTTGTCTGGAAAAAAAATTGGCTTTTGTGAACTTGAACTATAGGAATATCTCTGGTAGATCTGGAAGGAGAAACGTGTGTTTGTATATACAGCTACTCACGATGAGTAGCGGGAGAGTTGCTTTTCATGATTCTGTAAGACTTGTTCCCATTTCACATGTTCTTTCTCTGTTGGCGTTCTGGAATACATGTTCCTGGTGGGTCAGACAGTAAGGTCGTCTTTATTTGAAGTTGTCAATTAGGAGAGAAATGTTTTTATTCAGTAGCAATCCAAAATTCCCGTAGTAGTTTGAATTCACTGTGCAGGTTGCGAAGTGCTTCTTCTGGATGATTGTCCAGTTTGGTCAATTCAGTGCACGTTCCTCATCTTCCTCCTGGTAGCTACCACGTGCTTTTGTGGGAATAGCGTGGAGCAAGGAGCTTCCCTTCACAAAACCAAGGAAATTCCAAAGGCCATATTGATGTTTCTGTACAATTCTTAAATAAGTTTGTTGCTCTTTTGTTATTCTTTGTAGTGCAGATGGACAGTCTGGATTTTGGGCTAGGAATGTTCTATTTCCTTTCTCAGTCCTCTAGCTCTGCTTCTGAAGTTCTCTGTCACCTTATTTGAGAAGCTCCCCTGAGACATGCAATTACTGAGTGAAAAACAATTACACAAAATCCATGGGCTGCTGCCGATCCAGCTGGTAGTGGAACAGCGAGAACATCCTGAGGAGGCCAGACCGAACACGTGCCAGCGCTACCTGGGGTTTCCAGCATGCGTTAGCTTTACATTTAGTTCCAGCTGGCAAAAGAATTTCAGAGCTCTTCCTGAAAGATGTTTTTGGAGGAAAAAAAAAAAAAAAAAAAAAGCTTGTTAGAAATGAGACAACATTCCCCAAGCTGTGCTGTTTAGATCTTCCGTGTAAGGCTGTCGCTTTAGCAGTGTCTTTCTGTTCTGTTTTAAATGGCAGCTCATTGTGCTGATGGCTGGGGGATGCAACAGCGAGTTTCTTCCTCTCTGCCCAGGGTCATTGAGGACTCGGGTCTGTGAACTGGTTTTGTGCAACCTGAGTTTAGGTTGGTGCTGGATCTTGTAAACCTGATTCACTTGGAACACCAGAGCAGGAGCGTGGAGTGTGTTTCAGCAGGTTAGCGTGCTTGGGCAGAGCTGGCTTATATGGGAAATCCTCGTAAAAGTGTATTGCCAAAAGAAAAAGTAATAGCATAGATTTGTGTGAACAGTTGAGCTTGCAATATCTAGAGAAAGTACGGCTGCCTTCAGTTTCTCTGTAAAAACAGATGCATGAATTCTAGCTGAGGAGGCCACACACTCCTGTTAGTTTGCAGGATCCTTTCACAGAGGGCAATCACATTGCAGAAAGAGGAGGGCGGGCTCGAAGGACTGAGTGCTTTATGAAATTTTTATAAGTGTTGTGGAAGGAGCTTAAACTCACCTTCAAAAGCCTGAGAAGGGCAAATCCTGGCAGGTGTCCACTTCACGCCCTGATGTCCTGTGGTTGCTCGAGCATTAGACAAGGCATAATGTAGATTACTCCACCTTCACAGCTTCCCCCTCCCCTCCGTGCTGAATGCGAGCGGGCAACGCTGCTCTCTAAGTGTGCTGATGATACTTGTGCAAAAAGTACACATGCAAGATCACCATTGAGCGGGCAGCTGGGCAGTGGAACAGAAAGACGAGGAGTTCTGGGGCCGCGGGTGTGCCGAGAGCGGCCGTGCAGCGCCGTGGGGAGCGGCTGTGCTTCGCCTGGGTGCCCCCCCGGGGCGAGCACGGGGCCAGAACTCACTTTCAGTGTTGGGGTGTGAAGGGCCCGAATTCACGGGGCTGCAGCGGTGCCCTCGGTGGGGGCACAGCACAGGCACCCTACGGCAGCACGCACCCTCGCCTCGCTGCAGTCGGGTGGTGGAAGTACTCCCCTTCGTTGCCCTCTGATTTCAGAGCCCACCTCGCTGGGGTAATTCACTCCCCTTACTGGTTTGTTTTACCACATTTGCAAGCGTTGGAAGACTGTGCTGCATGGGGCTGCTTTAATGATTTCCTTTGGAGTGAGCTAGATTGCAAGACTGAGTGCAAACTTTTCCGTAACAATTATTTGCACTTGATTCTTGACAGAAAGGAGAGGTCCCATCATTTTTCCCAAGTGTGGAAATGCAGAATATTCAGCGGATGTGATGCCTGGAAATGGACAGACTACTTAATGATTTTATCTTGAATTCTCGTAGCTGCCATAGCCCAGTTAAAGATGAATTATTCTGTAAGCAAGCTTCTAGAAAGTGCCTCTAACAGTGTAACGCACAAGAGGAAAAAAGCATTTGGGCGGCGTTCCAGGGAACTGCTGTCACTTAAGAAAACACAGGCATAGGTTTTAAACCTTCTGTGGCAGGATGGTCCTGATGACACATCATATCACATCACGTCACGTGTGAGGGAATTGTGATATAAATGTCTCAACTATATGAGAAGTTTTCATCAATGCATAGGAGGCGTAAGAAGAGGCAACTCTGAAAATACTGTGTTTATAATTTACAATCTGTCTTGAATTTTGGTAGGTAGGTGAAGCACTTACTCAAAGCACCTGACAGATTCCCTTTCAAGAGCCTGAGCAATATGCAGAGAGCAAGCCTGGACTGGATTTTTAGAGTATGAGATGTAAAACAAAAAGTCTGACTGCAAAGGGAATCTATGGCGAAGTATTATTTTTATAAATAGTCTGAAATGTATTATGATTATTGTGAAGGGTCAAGAAAAGGATCTCTACCACTGTAAAGATGTGATTTGATGCAGATTTTTTGGAGCAGAGCTTGTAGAAATGATACCGTGCAGTGGAGAGGCTTTGGTAAAATAACACTGCCTCAGTTCAAGCCTTTTTAAAGTTTTCATGTTGTACGTTATTTTTATTCTTCAAAATTCCTTGCATCTTAATGAATGCAAAATGCGGCTTGGATAGATGAGTCGAATCTTTGGCTTTGTGAAAAATTGTCACCTGCAGAGAACTGCCTTCACATATTCCTCCTTTGTTTCTGTTTTAGGTTTCTAGCGCGGGATCATCAATCGGTCAGATCACGCCAGCCACAGAGCTGCTGTCATGTCGAAGTTAAAGAGCTCTGAGTCTGTTAGGGTGGTGGTACGCTGCCGGCCAATGAATAGCAAAGAGAAGAC